TGACCTCGGGAGTAGCTGTGAGGAATTTCAACGATGATGCGGAAGATGAGGGAGGTGAGGGCGATGAAGATGAAGAAGGAAAACCAGAAAAACGAAGACTGCATCACCTGAAGGAATATAGACAAAGACGAAGGGAGAGACGAGACTCTAGGAATTTATTTACTCCAGAATCTGAAAATGAACCCGTAAGTTGGTGTCGCCATCATTATCACGCAACTTGCCGTTTTGTTTTTTCTAAACCTCCGTCAATCAATTTTGTTTGGCAAAAAAATTTACTAAAACAACTCACGTGTAAATTCCATGTGAGTTTACTACGATACTAAGCAATCTACGGTGGGAACTATCATGGTGGGCAAATTAACCTGTTTCGCAATGTCGCTGGAAGAAAAACTTACTTTTAACGCTCTCTCATGCCTTAATCAGACTTAGAGAGTGGAGGGTGTGCATGTCTTCACCTTAACACCAGACATTGGAGCTCTGGTATTATAAGATATGCAAGGTCATGGCGGCTTCTCATTAGCAAACCATAAGGTCACCAATGCATTATTAGACAAGATTTCTCTCCAGCCGGATACCTGCGGCGACTTCTGTCGCATTCTACCTAGCGAACACGATCTGTTAACTAGGTCGATCAACATTCTGAACGGACGTTTATTTCGTCAGTTTTCTTTTACCGTCCAACTTAGGTTTTCAATTTCTCAAATGAGAACTTACGTTCAAAGTTTACTTAACCCCTGTTTGTGGAGTTTACAAACCACCTCACATGGCGCTTCCAAAAAAGTGTGTAATTTTACGGGCGAATTTTCCCTTGTAATCTTTTGCATTCCTTTCAATTGTGCCTTCGACTAGGTAGGTATGGCAGTTAGTAAAATACGCCAAAACGTCTTACACGAGGCTTTCTTTCGCTAGTCGTTTAGTCAGTTGGTAAATAGCTCGAGGAGAGACCTACAGTTCTTCTTAAACCTACATTCTTGCCTTGTCTTAAGGCAACAAAAACGATATTTCCTTAGTGTTTCCCATTCGCACTACAGCTTAAGCAGATGAATCACTTTCTGCGTGTAAAACTCAACATCAAAGTCACTTTTGGAAAGGGTTTTAACCCAAACCCCGTAACTTCATAGTGAAATAAAAACAGTTCAATTTAAATGCTAGGTGGCTGCATTACAACTGTGAGACAATGCCTTCGGCACGTGCAAGTGTGTCTTTTGTGCATGATTTGCGTCTGGGCCTTATGGCCCTTGTTTACAGGCAGATTCACACTGGCAGAAATCAGCGCTCAGATTTGTAATCAGTTGCGTTGGAGGTCAATGGTGTGCATTTTACGAAGCTCTCAATTTGGAATCGAATCGGACTACAGTTCTGACATTTTTTGTCCAGCGCCTTTTTTGACCCCTTTCACCTGGTGCTCAGAAAAGAAATTTCTGGATGAATTAACATCAAATCGTCGAGGAAGAAATCAATTTCCTCCAAACCCAAATAATATCACTACGTCGAAAAACGAAGCCGCTTACCTATTGAGGCAATGACCCTATCTCAGCCTGATAATTTGTCTCACCTCATGTAGAATTTGACATGCGAAGCACCCAGGGCATTAGCTGTTCATGTCGGTTGTAGTACAGGACTTATCGTGATACGTGAGGATGAGGCGAACGGGTTGCGTTTTATGATTTCTTTTCCCCTCACGACAGGCCCATTTCCTAAGTTTATTGCCTTGGAAGCAGAAATAGGCTGTCTAGATATGTTGTGCTATTTTGTGCTTTCAGTAATATTTAATGATCGTTATTCACAGCAGTCGTGGTGCCAAAATGGGTTGTAGCACGTGCCAAATCCTCAGGTAATGAGGTCAGCCAACGCTAGTTCCAAAACTCACCATGTTGTAACGACAAGTCACTCAATGTCTTGATTGCGAGTTGTTGTTTTGCCGTAGTGGTGCCCTCATCAGGTCTTTTCGTAGGCCACTTTGAAAACTTTGTTTTACAAGAGTGGTGGCTCCCCTCTCAAAATATTTTGCCTTCAACGACCTTCTCACTCGGCTTTACGTATTGATAGTTTAACTACTACTCAATATTGCACGCCAATCCCAGTACTAAGGCAGGTAGCATGTCAAGCAACGGTATCCTCTTCCAATTAAACTGACTGTGTGAGCATTTTTAAGCGTGTGTATGAGCTCTGACCACAGTGACTCGCAATGTGCTTAATATGGTCAAGTGGTTGCAAGTAAAACCTGTTTGACATGGGTAAATAAATCTAATTTTCTTGCGGTGTTACGAGAAGATAATGACACTCCAACGTTTTAACCTCTCTCACATTCAATCTCGCCGCGTTAATTCTGCATTACTGTTAACGTAAAGTATCATTATTTTCGCTAACGTAATGGTTTTTATTAATACGTCACGCAAATGTACGTAAAAACGTAAGTGGTGCTGACGACTTCGAGCCGACGAAGCGCTCTGGCTCCTTATAAGTTGACACGGGTTCTAAAAACCTTGTTTGTTAGGCTTAAAATTAAGTCACGCGTGAGCTTTTAAAACGCAGTCTTCAGGCAAGTTCAGTCTGGTGGGAAGGTTGGCTGCAAGTTACCGCATTTTGGGTACACTAAAGCACGTCACCAAGGTCGGTGCATTGGATCAGGAACTGAGCCAGTAGTGTTTTCTGTGGCTTGATCAAAACACTTTGCTGTGCTAGAATCGTTAGGTAGCTAGCGGTAATTGACGTACCTTTTCGGTGTAAGCCAAACAGTCAAACCTAAATCCGTGTCCTGGCACCCAGACAAAGACGCTTAGCACACAACACTCTCCACCAATCCAATCAGCATCTCTGAATTGTTTTAAAATGATCTAGCTTTGCATAATCCAATTTTTCGATCGATGTAGGGGCTGTGAAATTCAGCGTGCCCCGGGGATGTTTGACTACATCACTTTTTTAAAGGCACTCGTTGTTAGACACAAGTGTGGAGCAGAAATCGGTATGAGTCAAAAGCTAAGTTTGACCTCGAAACCAATACCATTCGAGGTGAACGTCGCCACGCCCAGAAATGTCGCCTGCTGTCTACCCTTGAGACGTGCTTCGACGCGAACAACTTTTGCTGTGCCTATGCACTCAACATATTGTAACACGCCGTCAAGAGATCACTGGGGTTATTTTTCACTGAGCTTTCCACAAATATGCATTTCTTTGTCACTTCCTCTCTTAGCTTCGAAATGGATCAGGCAAATTGACGCGTCAATTTTAAGCCACACGAAATCAGTGTTCGGCCGGCTTTTTGTGTGGTGCTTTGCCACTGAAAGCTTAGTTCATCCGGAGCAACTGTAAAGACTGGGTTCATTGTTTCCCTTTGTCAACTCGACAAGACTTGTGGTAGCGACTTTCTCCGCAAACCAACGATTTCACAAGGTCCACGCCTCTCAGTGGGTTTTCGTGTAGCCCATTGAAATCGAACCAAGTTCTTTCACACACGACTGAATCTGAAAAGGTGTTTTTTTTTCGCAAAAAATGAATTTACCCCATTTTATCTAAGTCAAAAGTATATTCAAATCGTTTAGATATTAAATTGCTCGATTCAAGTACCCTGATTATGATCAGAGCATGCTGAGGGCTGGAGATACTTGATAAAGTACTCTTTAAAATCCTTAATAATGGGGTAAATATCATTCATTTTTTTATATTCATGTCGAAATGACTTGGATAAAAGTACTGATTACTGAAAAGCGCTGCTAAATAAGAGCTTGAGAAAGTACGAGGAGCTCTGCTTCATGGACCTCTCTTGGGCCTTCTCAAAATGCCCTTTCGAGGCTCCTTAGATGAATAAAATCATGGGGAAGAGATCTACTGAGAAAATCCAATTATTGTGTGGTTAGATGTGTGCATTTTTTTGGGATCGACTTTTCTATGAGAATTATTTCACCCACCTACTTCCCATGATTACGCATTCCCTCTCGGAAGTGCATCTGCAGAATTTTTTTCATACCAAACCTCTCGAAATGGGAAAAGGTTTGACTCAGTGAAAGTCAACGCGATTTACAACAACGTCTTGTGGAAATGAATGCTAAATATTGTGTGTGTGTGTGTTTTTGCGTGTGACTCCAATCGTTTGTCTGAAAAATAAGGCACGGGTGCCAAAATTAACACTCACGTATTTCCATACATTTTGCATGGAACGTGCCAACGGAATTGAGCAATGGTGGACACCTCTATTCGAAATAAGTGGCCAATTAGCCCACGGCCCTAACCACGCACTTTCTCTATTCATTCTCAAGGCTCTTCTGATGAGATAAAACGTCACGCTGTGAGGGCTGGATTTTCTTGGACAAAGACGAATGCATCCACGCTATGCTCAAGTTATCGTGATGAGTGTACTGGGTTGAAATTTCAAAAAAAAATGTTCAAAGATCTGTCTAAGTTTACGAGGAAGACGAATGGGTTGCGTTGAAGTGAATTCCCTTGTTAGTAATTTAATAATGGCAGGTTTTTCTACCATTCAGACTATTAGTCAATTACGGAAAATGCCTTGTGCAAAATTATTTGGGGTTTGTGAAGCAGTTGGCCTAGCTAAAACGTGGGTTTCAGAGACTTACTAGGTTGACTAGAAGGTCTGAATTAAATGTCCCTTGTAGATATGAACATTAGCAATTTTAGGGAATGCAAAGTATTCTTCTACACGTTACATTAAATCATGAATTCATTTTTTTCAAAAGTAAGTCCTTGTGCAAACACTTCATGCAACACAAGATCCCAGCCAATGTCTCATGGCACCTGGCATTGTTATAAAGAAGTCATAGCGAATGGCTGTTTTTAGTAAATAAAAACCCTGCGTTCTCTAACGTTAATTGGTCGAATGAAATAACTACTCCACCATAGCCAGACCAATCAGAATGTACGAAAGTGGCTAAGCCGCATGGCATCGCACATCCAGAACGACACACCGACCATTTGAACACCGTCACTTGCGTTAATGCGTACACGCAAAATTTCAAATAACTCGGAGCATTTTAAGCGAAGTAATGTTAAATATGCCCGCGGTTCGCAAGACCATGTCAGAGGGCAGTATCTGCACGATCCGGATGCTAATCTCCTTCGACGATCGAGCTGTCAACAAGCAGGACTTTGAGTCGGTCCTAGTCAATAACCTGTCTCTCTCGGTGGGGACACCGGCGCAGGCAACCCACCGCACCCACTCGGAGACAAACCGATGCTCCCACGCCATGCACCATCTTCTCGATGCCGTCAGGCGTCGTAGGGGCTCGGTCGCCGTCACACACGAGAAACCCCTTCACTGTCGGCATTCCTCACAAAGGGCAGACGAGTTTTCTGGTTCCGTAGCCTTGATTACGCATCACACAGGGCTGCTGCTTGGTTTGCCGAATACAGAAAAGCAGAAGACAGTCCATTTCGTCGTTGGCAAGCAGGATGACGATGAGGCAGGGAGCCACCACAGTAGATGGTCTAGGAAGAGCAAGATATTCCAACGCCACAGCGCGTGCACCCCGCCAAAGTGCACGGAAGACGAGGTTCTCGCCTTTCCCCTCCGGAGATCCGTGTCCCTGGGCAAGTTGTCCGAGGGGCTAAACAAGTGCATGGATGTGGTGCTGAAGTCCTCGGACAGCAGTTATCTCGACTTTCATTCTCTCTACAACAAGAAGACATTTGGCCGGAGGATTAGGCGTGTGGCCAGGGGGCTAAATCTCAAGGACATGCACTGGCTCTCGAGAAAACATTCGACAGCAAGCGGCGTGAGCATAAAGTCCCTCACAAGCTACGAGGCTGCTGACGGTGAAGTGGCTCTCATGTCGTCTTCGCTCAAGATTCACACCGATGTAAGTGCCAGTCTAGTCGCCCCCACGAAGTGCTTCATTCCTGCTTCGTTGATTAACTCTCGAGGGTAAAATTCCAGCATACAGAGGCCAGGGTGGGTTCGTCAAGGGTGACTACTTTTAACCCTGATTGAGATGCTTTTAAAAATCGCGCCACGATGACAATAGTTGAGGCTTTCAGATAGATTACACGATCGGGAAAAATACTAGGCTTCACGGGTTTTTTTCTGATTTCACCCAAAACTGACCCATATTCTCTGCAGTTATCATCTGAGGTTCAGGTGGTTAGGGCTGAATCAAGTGAAATATGCTATGGGAAAAATTCAAATCTCATTTTTGAAGGTCCGTTTTTATGTTTTTTGCCCTAAAAAAATTGCTAATTAAACACCTGGGCCATAAACGGGTCTCTGAAGTCTTTTTTTTCAAAAAAAAAACGAGTTAAAATAGAGGAAAAAGTGCATTAAAACTTACCAAACACCGCCGATGTACATAGAATTTTGCTACTAGATTTATGTACATTTCAGCCGGAAATTCTTTTTGGAACTTGGCTTGTTTTATCGAATGAGTTTGGATATTTTTTTTCCGCCCCATTTATTGAAAAAACAAACCATTAAGGGGGCTTTTGAGGGCTGTTTTGACACATATTTTCAATGAAGCAAGTCCAAGGCATACGCACCCTTTTTCTAGCATTGTACAGTCCCTTTAGATCGCGAAGCAATCCCGCTCTTTAGAATTTCAGGGCGGGAAGGGATAATTGTATCTTTCCTAATTCAGGAGCCCTCCGCCTTAACACACCGACCACATGGCGCGCAGTCACGAGATTTTTTTATCTCAGATGCCTCACTAAATGTATCGTGGATTGTTTTACTAGATTAATAAATTGGAATCCTCATTCTTAAATAGAAATCTGAATTAGATAACAGGTTCTGGAAGTTTTTTTTTAATTTAATTGTTTCAATGTGATTTAACTAATAGTTTTTTTTCTCAAAAAAATACTTCGGTAGGTTGAAATCTCATCTCGATGCACTTAATGACATTTTTTCAATCAATCAAACCAATGCCAGGGAGAAATGGCGTGGAGCATTGTGTTTTTGACCATCAAAGTCACGTTTTTAGATTATTTTAATAAACTCAAACTAACTAAAAAAAGGTAAAAATCGAGTTACTCCAAAAAAACCCTCGACCCAAATTTTCTTGTCTTGATGGGAAAAGCATTTCCGGCTGTCTGAGTTCGCCTGGTCATTGAAATTGCCGTGGATTTTATTTTGCTTTATGAGAAAAAACAACAACACAACTCCTTACCAAAGTTATTTTCTAAAGATGAAAGGCGACAGTTTTCAACTCCCTGCTTTTTTATAAACCTTGTTGGTTTAACAAACTTTCTGCGTTAAAGGCAACTCACATTTGCTAAATTTACTGCTGGTTGCAGTTACTAGACACTTCTGCGGGTCACCTTGCTTTTGTGGTTACGCAGGAATTGTATACTTTAAGTTCACATCCCGAACTTTAATTTCTGAACTGGCGTTGCACTTGATTTCATCGTAAACCCATGCGTTGTGCTGGTCTTGTTTTGTTTCGTTTCGTTTTGCGAAACTACACACCACATCCTGCGTAAAGATTTAAATGTACCTAGTCCAATGGGTACTTTCAGAGGTTTTGGTCGAGACATGTCGAAAGGCCAGCGTCACTCGGTGCTCTGCCTAGCTTCTCAAGGCGTCAAATGACGCTTTTGGTGACTGCATTTCTGCGAAACCACGAGCAGCCCTTTGCTCCACCCGTTTCACTTACCGCAGTAAATGCGGGTACTTGAACGCGTAACCTCAACAGCTGGCGGTTCCAAATGAAGCAAAATTAGCATGCTCGCGGTGTGATACTCACACTCTGCAACAGTCTCGTAATCGCCTGATCTTGTAAACCTAAGGCCTCCTATCACCAACTCCCTGGTCCTTCTAGCACTGCTTCATCACCCACTTTTTTTCAGAGAAGTGACTGGGATCCTCTTGGCAGCAATCATTTGTTTGATTTACCATGCCAAAAAAGGACCAAATAGGCGGGAGACCTTCTCCTGCGAGTAGCGTTTTTAAACCCAGTGGGAGTTTGCGAGCGCCGCTTGTAGTCGCACGGTGACTGACGGCTCCAGCCTCAGCCGCAGGGTGTCAGTGAGGTTCACAAAAGCTGAGAAGTCCTGGGTTCTGTTCTAACCAACCGCCTCTACACTCTGTATTCCTTTTTGGTGATAAAAGATGCCTTCTTCAGACACAAACCTCACATCAGAGGACTAGAGTAAATACGTGGGGCCGCATCGCAAAGCGGCCATGCTGATCTTCGTCGAAGAGAGCTCATGACTGCTTAGGTGGTGTGACGTTTTTCGCTTCAACACCAAAGACAATAATGTGATAGTACATCGAAACTTTCGGTTGGGCAAAATGACTGAAGTTTACAATCATAGATAGACAAACGCATCTTTGACACACGTGGCAGAGGGATGAACGCGATGCTTGGTTAACTCAAGTTCCAGGTTGATTAAGGATGATAAAGTTTCGCCACAGTTGGCTGCGTTTTGTCCCGACGAATAACGGGCACATGTTCAAAAAGAGCCGTGTGGTAAAAAGATGTCTTACACTTATGGTAGTTAATGAACAGGTTTAATCTTTTATGAGCTGCCACAGTGAACCTTAGACTTTGGACGCTATTTCAAATACTTGATCGTGGTAATCGGCGCGATAACTGAGTCCAGATTGAGCCTAACGTGGTTATTTACCGATAAGGGCGCTGGGCTGCGTGTCTCTAAACAGTGATGACAGACTGTACACGTGAATCGCACTCCTGTAAAACATTAACTCACCGCAATTGTTGTTTCTCTGTCCAGTTAATGAGATTGCGTGGTTGTTGCTTGTGCTGACGTGAAATCAATACGCCGAGCAGTCAGGTCGTTAGAAAACACTTGTCAATTGAATCAATTTGGTAGCCCAACGCATCGGCTATTCTTGACTCCAGTAGAAAATGATTTCAAGATTCACCTAATGTTCAGCATGTTTCACGTGGTAATTAAAATAAATATCATCATTTTTGTCTTTATTTGGAAAACTTGTGTTCATGGTTTTGGTGCACCTTTAATTGCTGTGTGTTTATTATTCCTGATTGGCGATTAGAATTTGCTTCAGTTTGGTATCCAACTAGATTGCCCTCTGGTTGAAAACTCTGCCAAATTATTTCTCAGCCTCGTATTTATCTCAACTGACTGTGTGCAAACCAAAACTTTCGCTTTATGAATAAAGTAATTTTAACCCGGTTAATTGGGTTACTCTGTGACTAGAATAGCACCTAGAGATTTGGCCTTAGAAACATTGCGCATTCGCAGATTCTAGACTTTAGGGGTAACAAGCGAACACGGCAATTTCGTCTGAACTACCCTCAAAGTAAGACGAATTTCATGTGGGTGGAGATTCTTGCGTTTATTTAAAGATCTCTCTAAACACGTACCTAACTATCAAGAGTGATTTCCAAACATAAACTACGATTTTATGTGGGCGTCAAACTAAACAAGCAAATTGCAACGAAGTCGCTAGTTCTGGTCAGGGTGTCGTCCGCTTAGTCGCGCAAAGCGTGGAGTAAACGCGCTATTTCGCTCGGTGTATACAACAGTCGTACCCACACCAAACCACTTGATCAGGTCGCGTAGCCACGTTGCACAGTTACTGTCCAAGTGCGCTGCAAATGTTTTTCAAGTTTCACACTTCCGCCACTCCGTGCCCACATTCAACAGCTAAATTTGGGGATCTGATCCAAACAACTGCAATTTCGTTCTCACCTGCCTGTTATTTTTGCACTTCTTAAGTGACAAACGTTAGGTTAAGGAAGTGCCTCTTCGAATTCTTGCATTAACGTACCGGGTAACGCTTCAGAGGTATTTTTGATCTCAAAAAGATCAATTTTCGTTTTCACACCATCCCTCTTGGTCTTCGAAATTACCTCACATCGGCTTCTACCTAGTAGAAGACACTTTCGCGTATAAGCACCACATTTCTCGTGCTATTCCGTCCCACCAGTGTGCCACGTCATACCACCACAGATCCTCCACACCAGCAGCTACGCTGAGAACTGTTGTCGCAGCGGAACGCAGTTCTCGATAAGACAACCCTAAAAGTGCCTCGTGGTATCATCACACTGTGCACACCCTTTTTTGAAGTGCTTACAATGCAACACTCGTTTCCTGTTTGATTCATGTTGAGAAACATCGATTTAAGCTACTACGATTGCTACCTGCCTTTCAACGCGTTAATGGATTGTCAAGTGGTGTCGATACGAAGACACATAAGTGAACCCGATTAACTGTTTACTTTGCACAGTTCAACCAGAACCCGCCTGTGTGTGAGAAGTGGACCCGCGCTTCAGAAGCAGTTCGTGCGCAAAAGTGCTATGCGGCCTGGTTCGAACATGAATGAGTCACTTGGTAAAGTGGTGTGTGTCATTTCAGAGGCATTCAATCAGTGCTTGACTTGGCGGCTATATCTGATGCTGGTAAAACATGAAACATAAATGAAGTTTGGAGGTGTATGTTCATGCAAAAGTAATGAGACGAAATCGAAGGCAGGAAATGGTTTTAACAAATCAAACAGACATCGTCTCTTGGGTTTGAGGGCGCTCAGAATTGGCCAAGACAACTTAAATGATCACACTGTTTGTGTAGGTGGACGGTAATTGCTGGTTATAAAAAATTTCAAATTTGGTCATCCAGTTCATAATATCCTCATTTAACATTACTGCAAACTGACTTTTTTGTGTTTATGGCGTGCCTTCAATGTGTCACGAACTTCCTCTTTCGATACAGTCGACTTTGGTCAGGATACAAGACAAGAAAGTTAGACCGTAGCATACCTTACCACGTGCTCAGACGAGTCAGTGAACTGCTACATAGTGGATAAGAGCTTCAAATGTAACTTTTTGGTTGGTCTAGAAACAAACCTGTCATAATTTTGTTGACATCGCGTGTGCGCACCTCGTGCCTGAGTGACTTGCTTTTGAGGCAGCCGCAAAATGCTGATCACCGCGTGTTAGGGAATAGACACTCTGGGTCTCTTCATGAAAGATGGCGGATTTGGTTACCAACACCGAGGCGGCAAGAGGCCTGCTTGGACGTAGAATTTTTCAAACGCTCCCATTGTGAAAGTTGTCCACTCTTGGCTGGAATGTCTTCAATTAGCCTCCGTGTACCGGGGAACTTCCCAAAGATGTCCTGTTGGGTTCAGATTTTGAAAAAAATTCGCTTTCACCCTTAAATTTGACTCCATACATGGCGTGGTTTATTTCACTGTTAGTATATTCACCAATGGTAACAAATCAGGCTTTCTCGCTACGTGCAGCGAAGCCATCTCCTTTCACCAAGGTCGCGTTTCTGTTTGCCATCAGTAGTATATTTCAGTTTGTCGAAATTAAGTTTATGCCCTCTGCCTTGTTTACTCTTATGCCCACAATGTAGACATTCGCAAACAAATGCAAACACTTGAACAACCGGTGCTCGCTTACTTGTACACACACACACACACACACACATCACTCACCGGTTGCGCCATAATCCCACTTCCTGGATCTCACAGTAGCTCAAAAATCCCATTAAGCTTGAGTGAGTGTCAATCAGGTTGCTGCAAACAAGGTCATTACACCAATTAATGCAGATGAACTGGTCCCAACAGCCATATTGTTTAATTTGCTCGACTTTTGGAATTTGTAACCCATCGACACCTCGGCTGTAGCCGCTTGCAATTTTAAAATTTAATCAAATTAAGAAATAGTGTGTAATCCTGAGGTTTCTGAATATGAGTGCATCTGATTTGCCCGCTGTTTGGTCTTATCTGCTTCCCTGCCGTTAATTAATCATTATTGTTGTTATTATTCTCAAATGAACAGCGATTAATTGGGGTGGTGTGTTAGGCACAATGCATGCTTCCAAATTCCTGGGTTTGTGGCACTTTCGGGTGTGTGTGTGTGTGTGTGTGTGACGGAAGCGGAGGTTAGCGCTCAGCCCACCGATTTTTGTGCCGGTAGATGGTGGGTCACGTGGCTGACCCGAGGGGCAAGGTCACACCAGCAGGCCCACGTAGACGCAGAGCACGTCTTACGCAGACACCAAACACTGCCGGCACAAAATCAGCAGTCCAGTCACGCCTCGAACGAATCTTTATCAATTTTTAGTTTTTTGCGTGTAATCGAATTGGGTGATTTTGTGATGTCTAAGCAAGGAGTGCTCACTTCGTCGTCTGACCGTTCTTCCCGAGCGATCATTTACCGATGACATCGTACCTACCCTTTAAGCCGCGCTTTAAGCTTCTACATGTCTACTTATATTTTGGTAGTAGCCATGTGATTCTCACTATTATGAATTGGCCCAAACAACATACTCCAGGTATCTTCAGCTAGTAGTCACGATTTTCAAAGCATCCACGAGACTGGCAGCAAACTACTTCTCCTGTTCCCCATGCATTAAAGTAGAACAATAAGTCTGCATGAAATGTCAGAAATATTGAAAGCATACGTGTATTCTGGGTGTAACATTAACGGCCTGATTGAAGGCTACTTATCTCAGAGCTGATATTTCAATTATTCGAGTGTCCTGTATAACCTCGCTCGAGCACGCCAATTCTGACACTCGGGTTTAAATCGCATGGTTTTTTATCGGTTTCATTTTCACTGAGCTGTTTTTGTCAATACCAAATTTGTTTGAATGAACACGCCCTTAACCACAATGTACTTCGCAACCAAAGTACCAAGCCGTTGCAACTTATCCCTACTTTGTCAAAAAGGAAAGTTCCAAAATATGCCCGATTCATTTCGTCCTCGGATAGCGCTCACGAAAACAGCCTCGGTCACTTCAAGCATGTGACATCTATGTTTTGAGACGATTTGTATGGCTTCCCCAGCAAGCACCAATAAACAGCTTACCAAAGCCGCGGCAATTCCTGATTGGCTATTGCTATCATCGATCGTGGCCTATTTGCTACCCACGTGTCCATGACTAGGTTGCACGCGCGCTTTCAGAAAAGTGGCGCAATTTTGTAATTGGTCAGACTCGCCTGATGCGGAAGAGAAATGATTCGGCACTCCTATTTAATTTCTGCTTTGCTGACTGCTCTACGTACCTGCTGACACCTGTGCACGCCGACGTGGGTTACGCATCACCACAAGACCAGCTGATCGTCAGATTGCCTAGTCGTCTGTTCGGCATTCGTGGCAATTCAAAGTGCGAGCGCACCGCAGTTCACTTATTTGGTTGTGATAACTCGGGTAGATATTCTTCGTGTCCAGGTAATGAAATACGCAATTCCAATAATTTTCAATCTGTGACCGTTGCACTATTGAATGGATTAATTAATATCATTACATGTGTATGGCCTCTTGTTTTTTTACTGGAAAGCAAATGTTTAAACTGTCCCCATTAAGCCGTAAAATGTATGAAAAAACTTAGTTGCCTCCTTTGCCACTTTCTTCATTATTAAATCATTGGTAAACTGATGAACCACACGCAGTTGACACGATTTAAGCGGTTATTTGTGCCGTATGTAAAATTAAATTAGTGGTTTTAAACACAGAAATCAATAAGACAGTCAACATTGGCTGTAATATGCAAAGTGAAATTAGATTAAAATCAATTGATTTAATGCGTCAGTCAGAGGTTGACAGGGTTGTGACTATTCATGTTCGAAGGACGGAAGAATTTTGCACCAGTTCATCTTTGCTCAGGTGATTGCATCTGTGGTATTCGTTGAGTGGTTTTCGGTTTTCCAGTTTCCGTGACTGAACCGAAGTGCCAGATCCTCTGTCCTGTTCCAGAATGCGGGCGATTTTCGTCTGGAGTGCTTGTTTCTGTGGTCTTTTTCTCACGCTGCTGTAGCAGCACTGGTTTTGGGACTAGAATATTTCGTCAAAATGGTGGAATAAGACCCGTAATTGGAACACAGATCTGTTTAAATTTAACCGACTCTACAGTCATGCATTTTCTCCGGAAACAAAACCCGCATAACGGGACTTTTCCCCGGAGGAATTCACCTCAAGTGGCACAAGTCAGTGCCACTGCACGAGCTGTGCGTGCCTCCGTGGACGGGGTGACTCACCTCGGCCGCCGGAATCGGGCAATCGCCCGACAAGCCGCACCACCGCCTCTTGTCCGACAAAGTGACATTTAGGGTGCAGCCGCACCTGTCTGATTGGTTTCCCATCCGGTTACTTAATGAGTACCGAACAAAACGTTGAATTTTCAGTCAATCTGAATTGTGACACTCTGTTTAAACGCCAAAGCGGCGCTAGATACACGGAAAATGCAATTTCTAGGAATAAAAAGCGTTTAAATCATCACAGTGTTGCCAATCGACTATTTTTCTGGTTCCTATAGTGAACGTTCATTGAATGAGCGTGGGTGAAGTTTATTCATGAGCTGATCGAATGCCATCGGTTATCGATTGCAGTTGACGATCGATATTCTATAAGTTGTAAAAAAAGACAGGAAGGGGTTGCAGCCACCATAGTCCCTAAAAGAATCGATGATTAGTAGGACTGGAATGCGCATTTTATTTTTTTTTATTTCCAGGAGGTGACACCACTCCGCTCCCTTGCGCCGGCAAATTTGTCCAACTCATCAGACTCAAAGTCGCATCACGTGGGCCGCTTTGTAGTCCTCAAGGCGACAGTGTCAAACGTGAACGAAGAATCGGTGTCTAGATCTTTGAACAACGACGTCAAGCTGAACAGCGAATCCAACGCCACGACGTACTCACACGACAACCACTACTGGACGGTCAGCGGGGGCAGAGGGGTGCTCCTCACGGCCCCCGGTGCACGTCGCGCCGACGACAGCCGACCGACCAGCAGTGGACCCGGCAAATCCGTCCACACGCGGTTTCGTCAGTTCTTTGTCGAGAACCTCCGGAATTCCCGCTTACGGACGCATTCCGAGCAGCAGCACAGTGGCACCAGCCGAAACGCCTTTCTCTCCAGCGACTCGCCCAATAAGCTGAAGCCGCCGGTGGCCACATACGGCGCTGGGCTACCACCACATGCGCACACCATCACAGCAGGCACTGGGTCGGCAGTGGCAAAGGCCCTGTTGCAGTCGACACAGCGGTCGAAGGACGACGGAGCCATCGGTTCTGGGAGTCCCGAGACCTCTGGGATATCCTCGTCCCCCATCCACGGACACTATCCTTCCGTCTCGGTGTCGTCAGTGAATGACAGCGAGGCGTCAATCAAACCACCGAAGAGGAAGTTGAAGTCAACGCATAAAATGGTCCGAAGACTGCTGAAACTTTCCTCTGGACAGAAGAAGCATGAGTTCTACACCGGAGACCTGCCTGATCCCTCGAAATTGCCCCGCGAGTTTCCACAAAGCTCACTCGAATTTACGCAATCTCGACTCAAGAATGTCCCCAGAAGGGTAAGTGTTATCACCCTGCTTTCTGCTAACCAGTCTTGATGTGTGAGCTCCTGTTTTATTTAAATTTACAACATCGGTACAATTTCCTGGATAAGTCATACATCGCCTTGTCAAAATGTGTCAAGTTTTGCATCATAATTGGAAAACAAAGATGTTATTAAAACGAATGAGAACTCTAGTGGAACCGTGAAAGCGCTTGTCTTTGACGCTTTTCACCTTCCGATTAACCCTGAAAGTTGCCTTAGCGATTCAACGTTACATTTGGCAGATACCCTGCCTGCTCTTCACCTCTGCACGCTGATAAAACTCAGCTGTCAAATGTGCTGAACTCTAGTGTTGCCGCCCAGACACGTCGGCTACGTCCACTACTGTCCCTTGGCTAACTCACTCGAAGCATTTTGTCGGAGTGCGAGAGCCACAGCAGCGACCTCAAGGCCGTTGCCCGGGCCGTTGGGCGCGTCCTTCTTGGGGACCCATAAAGGCACGGGGGAAGTTGCAGCCCCACGTGATAATTTGCGTTGAGATTAATGATACAAATTAGCAAGTCAACGCGGAATTGGCGTTGTTTGAAAATCGTGTCCCTACTAATTTGCCGTGGACAACTAGAGCACCACCACCACCGTCATGGTAAGGCCTTGATTCTAGCTTGTGGTCCCAACTAATTTGCATCGAGGAAATACACTCTGGCGTATTTACCCGGCGCCACGGCTTCCTGTTTGAGCAATGTCTACGAGGAAATCGATTGCACCATTGTTAGTTCCTTTTTGCCGAAAAACCAGCATTTTTCACGGAATGTACGTTTTTAATCCCATTAAGTAAAGGCGTAAAGAACTCTATGAGTAAGAATCATTCATAAAGAAATCGTATGCCCCTGGTTCTGTGGCCAAAATGTCTCGCTCGTGACTCCTTTGGCTGGAGACAAAATCCTGATATTATCCACAGGTCCACGCATCCTTCCTTTCTGTTGAAACTGAACACAAGACAAAGCTCTTTTAATAGGACTCTCACAAAGAATGAAACATTTGACGGCTTACTTCACAAAACGAAACAGTTCTTATTTCACACCCGAAGCGAATCATCACATGCGTACTAATTAACAAGCAAAAGACCTCGGGCGCATTAATGAGGTGCAGCCTCTGGCGCTGCAGGCCATTTTTCTTTTGCGTGGTTACGGAATTCCCAGGTGCCATGTCGACGCAACAGGTCTAACAGTAAACAGCTAGGTGGGCATGTAGATCCGTGTCGAGAATTCTCGTTGCCCCAAGTCACATCGCCGCCTTCGACACACCACAATCGCTAATCAAAGGTGCTGCTTCAATTGTCCCTTTTACGTTGCTTAAACGTCTCGCGTGGTTGTCCAACTGAGCCATTGGAAGCTTCCGTGTTCCGGTGCCAAACGATGAATTTGAAGCTCTAGTTCTACATTCTCTCTGCCGCGACTAGCCGTGTCTGCCACCGCAGATGGTCATGCTGTTGGAATATGTAGCCACAACTCAGTTCCTTTTATGTCCTCTTTTCTACAGACGTGTTGACTCCAAAATGTGATCTGGACACCGCATTTGTTGTGTCATGTAGTGAGTTATTTTGGTGGAAACTGAAAGACTCGCATCGGCGTGGCATTTCACCCAACAAATAGGCTTTTCAAGGCAATTGAGCTGACTTACTTGTCAACAGATGCATCCTACGGTCTAATGACCACTGGAAACAAATTCCCAATAATTGCTTACGCTGCCCTAATAGAAGTGCTGGATTTAGACCAATCAGATTCGTAGTGTGGGACGCGAAACAAACTTCTACAGGCAGACCTGCCTGTAGAATCTCTCTTGCTAAATCGTATTCCTCTCACTTGGCGCAAAATACAAACTTTTAAACACTTTTCACTCACTAGGGCGTCAGCTCTGCCTGTTGCTAGCTTGGTAGCTAAAAACACATCGACCAGGTTCTTTTGACGTATTAATTCTTTGTTTTAAAAAAACAGCCCCAAATTAATTTAGCATGTGTGGGCGTTGACGTGAGTTACCATAGTTAATGGGCATTTGCACACACAATTTCCAAGAGTTATCTTGGGAAGAGAAACGCTGAGCTATTTTCGTGTACTTTCAGAGCACCCCTACTCACAATTACGGACGCAAAGGCAAGTCGGGTGAGTCAGTTCTACCGTTACTCGTTTTATTTTTGTGGCCATGCAAATAATTCTCTGCATGTACTATGGCAACATTTGAGAATGATCCACGTCTACTTCTGAACTCGCAAATTCATAGTTTGGCATATGTATAATCATTAATGCAACTTGTAGACAAAATAGCCCCTGAAGTGTGGTACCATAGTGTGTGCGTGTTTGTGTGTGTGTTGCTATTTTACTTGTGATTTTTTTAATAGCGATTCAAACACGAAGTAAATCTCAGTATGCAGTAGGTGTTTTGATGGTGAATCGTTGGAAAATTGGCTGTGTTTCCATCGGCGCTATCGGCAAAACTGTCAAACTTTATCGCAGTTGAAATGCCACACGCCATTTCTTTTCGGCTGGAGCACACACAACATTACTTAGCCCGAAGGTGAAGAACATAAATACTTAGCTTCTACGCCAAACCAAAACGTGGATCATATTCGCTTGCCTCATAACAGCCGTCACGTGCATTGGCAAAACCACAACAGGGCGCTGTGGAAGTTTCTGTATGGAGGGCATGATAAGACACAGTGGACACCGTTATCACACCCGTTATCGAAAGTGTGATAGTGGGGTTACTGTGGTCGCAGGATTCAGCACAATGCACGGCAAAAGCACTCAGCCCGCTCGAGCCCCCGGGGCAATTCTGCACGAGTAAGTGACTGCGCGTTGGTAACTATGTCGCCTCAAATCGGTGCCTCGGGATAATTTGCAAAATATGCGCTGTTTATGGATTAGAAAAGACGATATCTAGAGCAGTTGATGGAGTTCAGGCAGTTTTTAATCAAACTCATGCAGGTAAATGAGTCAATTTGGTGCATAATTAGAGTAACATTGCCGGTGGCTTCGAATGTACGAGTTCGGAGCATTATGAAGATGAGAAACTGAGGGGACGAGGAAAGCGTTTTCGTTGTATTGCTTCAACACAGCGTTAGGCCATCAATTCATTCCACCTAATGTTCTTGGCGCGTTTCGAAGCCTTTCGGCGAGGAGGTTGTTTTAAATGTACTTAAAGTCTGATTGGTTGTTGTGTGTTGCCTTTGTCTAATTCCACCAACCAGGGTTGGGATTAATTTCAGCGGATAAAAAAACCATTCAGATCTTTTTTACCTTCAAAGGAGGTCTGAACGCGTGATAGTACCTCCGGCAACAGATGTATTTGGGAATATTTAAGAGTTCTTATTATTTTGCCTCCCGAAACGTGCACGCCGCGGCACGGTTAAATTCGGTTAGGACTCGCACCGCAGACGCAGGCGGCTGCAGTTTCAAGCCCCGCTGGGAGTATCGATCGCAACGCAGGCGGACACTGTGTGGCGCGCGCTGTGTGCGCGTGCACGCGGGGCGTGGCGCGAACTGGGCTGGTTGCCCCACCACCGGCAAAATGCGCACGAAACATGCAGAAAAATAAAAAAAAACTAGATTGTGAGAGGGGCGGACGGAAAGTAGGGAGTGAAATAAATCTTCTGGCGAGTCCAAAATTCGTGCTTGTTTACTCTCAATCCCAATTTGTGGTAAACAATTCAACGCATGTGTGTCGTAAAGGGAGGTCCAATCAACTCTCCCCTTCAAGGTCGTGTGGCAGATTTCGTCAGCATATGCTGATACACCTTCAGCATTCATTTCCACCTGTGATTTGCAGCCTACTTCCGTTGACTACTAAGTGTTGGCTACTAAAATGTATTGATAAAACCAGAGGACGCTTGTTGCCTTTTTAAAGACATAGTTTTAGCAAAGCCCACTGTTTCGTACCAGTGAAAGATTGTATTCTGCATTTTGCGTGGTTTGGTTTGAGGCAAATTTGGCCTACGCACTTTTCCCTCGTGTTCAGTCGTTAGCTCACCCATGACATCAAAAGACCTCACGTTTCGGTGTAGGTGCCTTAAAAACTCGATCCCTTCGATGCCTAGTCGCATGCCAAAGAACTTTCCTGAAGATGCCAGCCCCGTCACCACTTCAGCGACAAAGCGGTATGCACCCCGGCCCTGATAGCCCCTTCAAGAAGGCCTCCTTTGAAGTGAGGGTGTGTGCGCGTGTTTGTGTGTGGTTTGGTGCGCGCCGCATAGAGCTTGTGTAGCTTGAAACAAGAAAGTTTATGCATAAATTAAGGAGTGTGCGGATGTTGAGTTTCCATCCAACAGGTGCAGATGTTCAGAAATGAATGCTACTCTTTGTAATCTTATACAGGCCCCTTTAATTATGCCAAGAAAATGCGACTGTATGAACGTGGGCTCTGAATGTGTTTAGCACCTGGACACAATTAGGAATAATCGTTTAGCCCTGTAGAACTGGTCTTGACTCGTGACCTTTAAAATAACAATGACAAGTTGTGTGTACGTTACTGAAGCACTTCTTCGCTTACCTAACATCTGCCTTTTGACGTCGAAATTGACTTTTAATGTGATGAGGTCAAGGCCGTTATACGTCGTCGGTGGCCGAGGCTTTCCAGCGTAACGCCCATCGCTCCCTTTAGGCAAAAGACGTTTCGTCGCCAAATGTTTCTTCCACTGGAACTGAAGCATTTTCCTGGTGGCTATCTTGGCTCAATTGTGCTGGTCGTACTGGCGTTATGTTGTGAACACGTGAACTCCCAAACATGTGACCACGCCAGGAGTAGTTAAGAGCGCATTTCGCTTCACAAATTCAAACACCAGGTGCACCCACCAATGGACTGTGTAGATTTCAGAATAATTGTACTCAATGATCTGAAATTTACTGACCGCGGGGTGATTTTGGCAATCCCAGCCCAGGCTGATGGAGAATGGAAAAAGTTATAGCAATAATCAACAGATTCATGTTAGGCCTTTCGCAGCGGCAATGCACAAGCTACTGTAACTTGGGAGCCGTAGGGGTCAGTTTTATGACCTGTCTATTCGACTCGTCGAGTTCGAGCCGTGGGCCTCCCTGAACGTGCCTCACCTTCGTCAAGCATACTCGAACGTTCCCCCCTGTTTGAACAGGAAATCGTCCTTTCCTTAGCCCCTGGGGGAAGTAATGTGGGTGCATTGTGCTCCCGATGGGTGATTTTTCAGGCTTTTACTGATATCAGTCAAGCTCATTGTCTCACGAACTGCAAGCTGGGACAAATTCAGCGTTTAGTGCCAATGCTTCCTCCCGAGGCAGAGGGTTTAACGGCGTTCGCCTGCAAAATTCGATGTGCTTAGGCCCTTGGGACGACCGAGTTGGACGCCATGTTTGCCCGAAGGGATGGAATCTTTTTTGTAAAGTATTCCTCTCTAATCTTCGTCAACGTGATCGGTTTATTAGCCTGTACTTAATTGACGCTGCAAACTACGAATTCTGCTTTTCAGTGATTTCAGTGGGTCATCATCCAATAATTCCCAGCGCCCTCGCCACACAAGGCGAAGCCAAGTCGGAGGAGCTCCTGCTCAGCGCGTTTTCGCGATCTCTTTCCGGCAGCAGCGGCCACAGAGGAAGCCATCATAGTCATCATCATCACCACGGCAACGGCCACCACCACCACCACAAGCACCACAGCTACTATCGCGGTCACTACGGTCACGTGAGGCGGACGTCGAGTCGCCTTCACCACCCGACCACTCTGACCCGGGTCACCGAGAATTCGCGCTACCTGATGTTCACCAAGGCCTCTCCGTTCCGGGTAAGCTGCCCCCCCCCGCAACATTGTCTAACTTGCAATCACACTGGTATAGCAATCCAATCCAGGACAGAACAATATTAAATGGCACCGTTGTGCGCTACAGGCGCCTGATTAATCCGGCTCGTCGTGGCTCTTTGGTCGCTTCGTCTTTGCAGTGACTGAGTTGTAGGGATATTATTTTCTTTTGCTTCGGTTTGATCTAGCTGATTAAAGTCACGTAAACACAAATGCCAAGCAAAAGCCCCCGTGCTGGGGTTGCAGGGGTCTGAGAATTTTCCTCTGCAGATTGGCCAGTCGGTAGTGGGTTATACTTAATTAATTAAGTCCTTGTGAGCATATTTTGAGTCTCAACTTTCGGGCTGTTCGTAAAGCACCCCTCGCAAATGTAAACGCTGAATTTTGTTTGCGAAAAAGGCTACCCTTGGGTTTAAAATTAAACTCACTTATTGCCGAATGCCAAAGCAGAGTTGTCTGGCGTCCATTGTAGGTTAGCTAAAAAGGCGTCAAGTTTGGCTCTGAAGAGTTACACCGGGACGTAAAATACTCGACTAGAACTCCATGTGACAGCATTGAAACTGTCTATACCGCATGCTGCTTCACCGTAACACCCTGCCAGTTAGTTTATCACCCTAAGAGGCGACAAGGGATGACAGGCACGACCGTCTATTCACACGTATGCACGAGAGACGGTGCGTGTGGTCGGTGAGCGTGTTTACACGGTACTTTTGAACAGGGGTCAGTGTCAGGTCAGGAAGGGTGTCAGGTGCCAATCGCTTTGAGGTAAACCTGTTCAGACAAGCTTCAACTCATGTGCGTCGGCTGACGCCGTCCACTAAGCGACCATTGGTCCAAACCGTAGATGTATCAAACCTTTCTCCAGTAGTATCATGGATCAGCATAAAGCCCTCATTTCCTCAGACTTTTCTACGCCTCTGATTTTGATCAGCCTTTTATTATAACCATTTGCGGTGTTGGCCAACGGAGTAAATCGCGTGGTCGGTTCTAAATTTGGATATGCAGCATGCGAATAAAAACCTTGTGCGTTTTCACAAAAACTGTCACGTCAGCACCACTGAAGTAGGAATGGCGTTTATTAAATTACAATCTTTCGCTTCGTTCAAGTACTTCCTTTTTTGGCATGTGTTCGATCGCAAGATTAAACCCTTCTCAAAAACTCCCGATTTAAAAAAAAAACAACTCAAAAGACTATGCCGTGACTTCACAAAGTTTCAAGTCTCATTAGAGGCTGGCTAAATCGTTTGATTGCTGATGAGTCTGCAAATGCGACGTGATCGCCACCATCACAAACGGCACACCACACTTGACGGCTCGTTACTTTTGTGAGGTTTAAGTAAGACGTCTTTTGGGATTCGTGCATCAACAACGCAGCAGGCACATTTATTCTGAGTAAACTTGATTTCAACTTGGTCCCATGGTCCATCAGGTGGAGTAAGCGCACATGCCTTCGGCTTCAGGGCGGCTAGCAAGTTGGGAGAGCGATTGTGCTCCGTCCCCACCTCCTCCCCCCTCCCCACCACAACGAAGACCGTGTGTGTGTGTGTGTGTCTCCCTTTCCGAAGTTTTATGCCGCCAGGGGTTTGTGAAGCAAGCAGCTGGTCGTTTATGATAATATCAAAACGCCGCTAAGGGTTTTTGATGTTAGCGTAATCTCTGTTTAAGTAAAGCCTGTTTCATCAGGAATCTGTCGCACCTGGAACTATCGTAGGATGCAAATGGCTTGTTAAAACTGCGGGGATGGCGAGATCCTACCTGCACCCATGCAAGCAAAAAACTCCGTGAGTCGCTCAAAGATATTAATTTTGATAAAATCAAGGTCAGGTTAGCCTATCAAAACGGGTTTACGGAAAGCAGTAAAATAGTTAGGTCTGGTACGGCCGCAAGTTTTTGCCGAGCCCTTAGTTATAATATCACGCCAAGTGTAGAAAACCAAGGACTTCCTGTGCGGTTCTAGGAGTCACCTTTTCCACAGCGTCTTGTATTCGCGAAGACAACGATGGCGCCAATTGATGAGCTATATATTGATCTGTGGATCTGTAAATTTATGCGGCGAGAGGTTGCCGATAGTTGTGTGATACTTAAGTTCCTATAAAACCCCCTACTTGGCTCTCTGAGGACGCATTAATTACAGCAATTATGTGATTTTCGTGTAGTTGGCACTCATGCTTTCTCTTCATACATTGGGCGTTCTATGATTGTGACTGCTCCAATCACTGGTGCCTTGTGATAGGCGCCATGCTTACCGTAGCGGGTCCGCTTTGGTGTTCTGCAGTTGAGTTTCCGGAGTGACTGCATTTCTTGCGGCTCATGATTGTTGAGCACTATCGATGTGCTTCACCATATGCCTTTACTTAACGCCTGAATGGCTACACAGTCACAGTAAGCAACCCAATCGGACGATAGTTGACGAAAACCAGGTAAGATTCAAATTGAAGTCGCAATTGTAGATGCTATCGGTTACAGCTTTTCCTGGCAAGCAGCACTAGGATAGAACCATCACTTAAAAGTTTAAGCCGCATTTCAACGTCTTGCCTCAACCATATTCGCGCATTAAACCCGGATGGACAAATTATTTCCAACAATTATTTCGGAACCATATCCTCATAAAGCTGTAGGCGTTTTGAAACTTTAGGTTCAAGAAATTTGACATTCTTCAGTCAGATGTGTGACGCGCTGTTATTTACGTGAATGTTAGGTTGAATGCGGTGCATTCTAGGGAGGACAAAGTGCACTTTCAAAGATTGGAAATGGCTTTTCCAAAGGAATTAATGACACCTGAACTGTTGACATTTAGCATTTGAGCCCTAAGCGACAGTAACTAGCGGTGGCTTCGCCAAAATGGCACTTTATTGCGCGTTTAATCACAAATCGAGGAAGCTAAATTTACACCGGCTGAAGCTTAATTGACCGGTCGGTGGACAGTGGTTGCATTGCTAGGTGCTCCAGTACTTGCCCAACTACTTCCGGGGATGAGGATGCGCCTGTTGACTTGGGCAATCGCAACCACCACTACCACCACCGTCAGCAGCAGAAACTGGCAGCAGTGCCTAACTATACTGCAACTACCCACGAGACGCCATTTATGTCAAATTGCTCAAGCTTTCTCTATGCAATTAGAAAGGCTCACGAAATGATTTCACTTCACACATCACGCATCTTTCCTTAATTTGCTGAGCAAAATGAAAGCAAAATGGAGGTTTTCAGGTCATATCTTCTTCTCGCCCTTTATGGCGATTTGGCATTTTGTCGGCACACGTGTTCGTGTAGTTTGTGAACATTTTTCTTAATTCGAAGTGCCCTCCTGTTCTATAGCATTTCTTTTGTGCGCAAAAATAAAAAAACAGCCGTGGTAGTAATGAGGGTGAAGCTGTAGTGGAATCGCACTGCAGAAAATTATTCTGCAAATTTAGGGAAAAACAATGTTCGCGCCAAAGACTCCAGAACCCTTGTAGCCACAGACAGTAGATGCTATCATTAGTTAATTTACGTTCCGTGAGTGCGGCAGAACTCAAGACACTGGGTACTTGATCTACCATTTGAGTGAAAAGTGCGGTTTGCTACTTGTGTACGCTGCGTCGTGTTCCAGCCGCTCAGCACTCGTTACAAAAACCGGTCGAAAAAAGAACTACCAGCGTGGGCTGGACAGTCACAGTTGATCGTGATCTGCGAGTCAGTGTACGCATCAGGCTGTCAATTCGGTATGATTGCGGGGTGATGGCATGAGCTGCAAGCTGCCGTCATCAATTACCGTGCACGATAGGCCAACAGGGCCCTCCAATGCAGCGCCAAATCTCACGTTACTATAATAACTCGACGCCAATCATTACAACCTGGCTGGAATGTTTACTGCACCAATTATGAAGCGTGGGCTGTTCATCCTCAGATTATCGACGTGGAGTTTTGCGCAACACTCTTAATGTTTTACAAGCAACACAAAATTTACCACCTAAAGTTACATGGACAGTTTTTTAGCTGACAGGTCCTCTGAATGTTTCACCAAAGCGCTAGAAGGCAATCAAAAGGCACGCATTATCGATTAACCATGTAGCCACATTTACGAACACATGGTTTTAGCAATTAAGTTTACTGTATGGTGAAATCTAACTGAGTAGCTGAAAGCACGGTTTCATGTTTAACTCCATGGTTAAGTCCAACAATTTTAAAGTGAATCGCGATTAGAAGGGTAGTCACGGGGGCAGTCGAGGGTGGAATCTTCGTAACTTAGTTGCGAATGTAAAAAAAAGTCGGCTTGACATTTCCTTCACACTTTTCTACTGGCGTTTATTAAAGTGTTACAACTTTTCCGATCTCAAAATTATGAACCCGTTTGTGCCGAGGAAGTGGCTCGCTGTGAGGCAACATGCTTCCTGGCTACCTCAGCGGAACGCTTCTAAGACGCCATCCAATACTGCCATGTCCGAAAAAAATGCCTACAAAAAGGGAAGATATTTTGTTTTCAACTAGTTTCAGATAGGTTATGTTTGTTTCGTTTCCAAATAAGATCTACAGTGGACAGTCCCATTTAATGTCTGATTTCTTTTTACTAGATAATTACAACAACAAGTAGATAAAAGTAGACCGGAAGTAATCAAAAAAGAAACCAATCGAGTCAACAGGATGTGGTAACATAGGTCGACTTGGCCAACGGTGCAACGCTTTCACTTTAGGGGAGCGTGCAAATGCCAGTCACGTGATCTCGCAGTGATTCCTATGCCTGCGACTTGCCAAATGAGGCGTTTTTTAGGACACAACGTAGCTGATCTACATTTGGCGAAATAGAGGACTGATTTATGGCAGCACCCAACAGGGCTTGTGCCTGCCACCTCGTGTTGTGGGCCCCATCATGTGGTCTTGAACTACGCCGGGGCCACTAAGTTAACCTTAGCCCGATTGCGATCCCCTGATTCCCACAATGAAAAAGAAGACCGGAGAGGACGTAGACACAACCGTTTACTTTAGACCTCAACCAGGTTAATGTCGTTGTGTCGTGTGTGGCGTTTGCGAGTGTGTATTTATACCTCACATGCGTGAGTCATAGATGCTCTAACATGGAGACCTGGGTGTGAGGATAATCCAGGATAGATGTTCGTGCGAATGAGGGGAGATTTGGGGATCCGCGCGGGGGTGCTGTAAACAGTTGTGGAAAGCTTTGACAGGAGATTGCGCGAAATGCCTGTAAAGCCTGTTGGCGTTAGCCCTCCACACCACATCCTGGCTGGAATCAGAACTACAGCAGCTCCGTACATTGTGCCACCGTGGTCGATGAAATTGTCCTGAGACCAACATCCACGTTCCCTAGCACCGCTTTGAGTTTCCTTTAGATGGTTCCATAAAGCATGCGTTTGATCGGGTTACAATTGTGGGCGAAATTCTATTCTAGTGGACTTACCACTATGTGTGTCAAATGACTGAGGTTGTTTCTAAACTTTGTCTACCATTTTAAACAAAATGGCATCCGCATGGAGCAATTCTTGACACCAATGTGTTATGGAGATGTGTACCTTAAGGAGTAGAGGAAAGTCCATCTAGGCACACACAATTGACCGTGAAGCAACAACTTCAAGCGTTACACACCGATGGTTTAATTGCACACCCGGCACTTCGTGCTTAGTTCAAAACAAAACATTTTAATTTTCTTCCCCTTTTAGTCACCGTTTGACTTCCTTCAGACTCGAGGAAAAGGCCTAAGTGAGTTTCTTTTGTCAATGCATCTTGTTTTAACTTTTAAAGGGTAAAAGCTTAGGCCAGTTTCGAATGTGCAGCTGGAAAAATTACAATGCGAGTTGCGCTCGATTCAAATTTCGCTTCATTTCGCTGCTCATTACTCGTGTTTTGCAGTCCTACACCAATCACACCACGAGTTCGCGCTCTCGCTTGTATTTTTTTAAGATCTTTCTGGGTAGTGCGAAGTGTAATAGATTGAATTTCGCACAATGCGACATCGTTTTATCTTAGCGCCGTTAGCTGTAACTCAAGGCAACGGTGGTGAACAGCAGCATTCAATCGTGCCTCTGCAAAGGCGACAAGATGCATAATTACTCCAACGGTCAGGTGCTGTAGCCACTTTGGGTCTGGATAAAACGGTCTGTTGATGACGTAGACTAATTTTAATTTCATGGTTCTACGTAAACAGGCCTATAACGCATAGAGGAGAAGTTAGGGCGGATTGAAACGCCGTCTTTTGAAGTTGCCTATTGTCAACTTTGTCCCGGTTACGGTTGGTTATGAGTTGAAATGATACATTTGGGGACATCAGGGTATGGAACACACACACACATAATTGAATTTGATTAATGTCGCAGGCAGGTCCATAATCGGCAGTGTACAGAAAAGTTACCAGCTTATACGGACCAAGCAATTGTCTTATTTTATAGGTGAATCCGAGATTTACACCGTTCTTTTTCGGCACACGACCTGCTACGAATTGATGCCCGAAAGCGCGAAACTAGTGACCTTGGACAGCATGCTTCCAGTAAGTTCACATGGGATTGTCACTTGGTTGGTGGCCCTTTATAACTTAGGATCATTTTTGTATTGACAAAACAAACAGACAATTTATCTGAATAATTGAAATATGTAAGTAATACTCTTGCTCTATGAATTACCATCGAAACATATTAAGAGGACTAGATCATTAACCAGCAATTTCAAGCAAGTCCTAAGATGGCTTCATGCACAACTGAACAGGCAATCTTTGCTGTCGGCAGTATGTCGCTAAAACCTTTGTTCCATGAACGTCTTAAATTTGTACATCATGATTTTATCGCGGCTGGACCTCTCTCTCTTGGCAAAAAACGTCTTCCCTGAAGAACCCACCGATTTTGCCACCTGCTTTCTGTAATTAGTTGATGACGTGAGAAACTGTTGCACTTCGTGTGCGAGCCGCTCGTGTCACCGTCTAGCCACTCAGCAAAGGTTTCTCGTGCAATTCTACGTGAGGCTCCAGCCGCTGATGCTCATCCGATCGGACAGGCCACGTTAAACGCAGCCGGTCACTTTTGGCGATCACTCGTTTCGCATGAGACGTGCCGAAACCACGCGTTGAGGCATTGGCCTTTTCCACCTTGTCACGCCCTCACCACCTTTGGCTTTCTCACTGTCGTCTGGGTTCGTGTCACAAGACTACCTCTGCAACAGTTCTGTTGAGCTTACTTACTGACTTAAGTTCCCACATGCCTATCCTGTCCTTAACAAACAAAACCAGCAACTTGAATTGCATGTTTTCCCTATTTATGGGTAAAAGTACTTTTGCAATGCAGTTCGGCGCGCCCTTTTGCAGCACCTGAGTTTAAAGGGCTCTGCGTGGTTAACTAAGAACATAGTTGCCAAGTTATGTTACGTCAGCTGAGGAATGCTGTAATTTGCAATTCCTAGGTGGGCAAGGCCTTTCGTGCCCTTTGCCTAAATGGGATTCGAGCTGCCCCAGTCTGGGATTCCGAGACACAGTCCTTCTCTGGCATTCTGACGATAAACGACTTCCTTGAGATGCTGACTTACTGCTGGAGACATCTGTCTTCGGACTCTGCCACCGACAAAAACAGCCCCAAAAGTGATCTACTCACCGTTGAAGACCTCGAGTCCATCTCCATTCGACGATGGAAGGGTTAGTGCTAGGTTTTAACTGCAAACATTGCTCCCGAAAAAAAGGCTTGCTTAGTGGCTAGAAAGTGCTTACATCACCCATGCATTTTCATTGTTGCACTCCCTTCTGGGAATCTGGTGCAACTGCCCAAGTCAGATCGTTCGCGCCTTTTCATCATGGTGCTAACGGCAGCTTTTTCATTAAAAAAAAACTTACAGAAACTTGACCACACAAATCCTAGCTTTTTTCCTCAGCAGATATTCCCAAAGCAAACACGCCACGTTACAAGGCACTTGGTGCATTATTTAACACCACCAAGTTTGCAACTACCCAAACACTGGACTTAAAAATCATTCATTAAGGGAATTTCCAGCCTCAAGGAAAACTTTCGCTTTTCATAATTTACTCAGCTAATTAACTTTTGCAGTTGTTGTTTTCTTAAACTGTGTTTTGATGCTGATTTTCGAGCTGAAGGTGCAGTTTCCTAAAGTGGGCTAATGTTCGTGGTTTTTCGTCATCTTAAAATGCTCCCATTTTTGGAATGCCGCTTTTTGTTAGTTTTCCCCAAACAAATGGAGTTAACTAATTAGCTCCATGTAGCTAAACCTACTGAGGTAATTGTATGTACGTTTGAAAACGCATTTAATGCAACGAGAGATCATGTTAACAAAAGTTTGATCGTACTCCGCTTAACGCTAAAGCGACCTAGGTTAAAACACACCGATGCACTGGACGGTAGGTTGGAATGATCATTTGGTAATCGGCTCGTGTCGTTGGCTTTTTCTCGCAATCCCTGAACGCATAAAGACAAAAATAGCAGTCCACTTGTTGATTACTCGAAGCCACTAATCCTCCTGTGATCCTGTAATATGCGGTTAAATTTTCCCAACACGTGGATTAGCATTGCAGCTTAAAATTACATCGTCCTATACAGACGACTTTTAATGCGTGGTCGGTTTTTTGTCAACTCCAACCTTTTTAATGCAAAAAACCTTCTATATTCTGGTTGAATATAAGCAAGTTGGTTGCCTAAATAGTGGTCCACGAGGCACCCAAACTCCCGTCTTGTCTAGGCCCTTCTAGGGGTACGCGTAGTTCCCCGAAATCCACTCTCTAATTTCTCAAACCAACAAATCTGGAATGTCCACATCTAAGCGTGCGATGTAGAAGAAACCTTTGAAGACCAATCACGAGGTAGAAGAGTTGCTGTCTGTAATGTCTGAAATCTCTGTATTGTTGTAAATAATAAAAAAATTTGCCTCTCAGGGAAAATGCATGCTGTCGCGAAATAAACTGGCCCCTACGAACTTTCTCATTCTTAGTTTTATTGAATTCACAAACATATATTAAATGTGGGCGTTTCCTGCAGTAAAAATGAACTCGACCGCCGGCGCAACTGCAAAACAATGCGTGGTTAGTTCGCTCGCCCCTCAAAAACCCGAGCAGCACTGCCGAAAGTGTTTTTGCCACAACTGTCTTAAGACCCCGAGTGAATCACTGGTGTCACGCACCGCAATTCGACCATAACTGACCGGGGTTTGGTGTGGTGGGGTTGTGGTACTAACTTGACCACAGTACATTCTTGTCGTACTAAAAGCTGCCTGAACGCACCGTCGTGTTTGCTGCGGAGAGAGCCTTACGTGCGTACTCTTGTAACTCAATAAGACTGGTAAATGGCGTTCTACGACGTCGACTTCTTTTTAAAGCACGGTTCACATCGCCAGTGCATTGTTTACTACCGCTGGGCCAAAAACAACCAACTACCAGAGCATCTAGCGAATTGCGCGGCCTTGTTGCCGATAGTGCACACGTGCCTTAGAAGCGCTTTGCCAACTTCTTAAAGGCATCATGGTCGTTGTTCTGCAAAATAATGCAGCGCTACTTTATGCTCTCCACAAGTTGATCGGTTTATGTATGAATTTATTTTTGCAAGGGTTTTAGGCTTTTAAAACATTTCTCGAGCAATTCGAGGGCGCCAGAAAAACGACGTAGCCTGTCCTGGACAATGCCGTTTTTTGCACTGGGACACTCTTTTTTCTCATTATATTTGACAAACAGAACCCTTCACACTTTGGATGCACTTTAGTTTTGCCGCGTAAAAGGATACCCCTAGACCCTCATTGCTCCAAACGCTTCACTGCATATTATAACTACACTTTAGTACCCCTGAGGTCTGTGAATGATTAGGGAAAAAGCGGGAATTCATTGACACATTCCGTTCCCATGGAACTAATTTCTACGATTCGATCCTCGCTCGAATTGCGTATTATTCAAGCAGAGGCACGCACATTTATCTGATACTTGAGTAGAAATTTAGGGCTTTGTCTAATCGATCTGCCGAGAGAAGCACAATCGGACGGAATGCCCACTGTTCGAAATTCAAATTAGATCTCGAATTGCTGCCCGCAACGTTTTCTAACATAGTCAGGAACTCAGTGAGAAAAAAATTGATTGGATGCTTTTGAGATATGCGCAGGTTGTCGGAAAGGTGATTGGACATATCAGAATTGAGGACGCAAATGTGGTACTTGTTCTGCCTCCTTTCCGAGTGGTGTACATGATTTATCGTGGGCGTTGAATCATGTTGCAACAATGCTCTTTCCTCCTCTTCTTCTTCGTTTGTGTCGTAGCATATTTTGCGTTTTCTATGGTAGTTATCATACAAAGTTGGTGGGTTTATCGGTGTTGAATTTGCACATTCTAGTGACTTCTATCAAGTCACCGAGCTCAATGGTGGATGCTGGTTGAGTTCAACTGATCGTTTGGGGTATTAAAAGCACGATCTCTATCCCGTTCATTGAATTTCTTTTATCATAAATGTAAATTTCTCCAAATTTAAGCATGTTTATCTGATGTGAACTAGAAATCTGTGGACGCACAAAAGCGTCAGAGGAGCGCAAGTCAGTGACCTTCTCCAGCACAATTTCGGACTTGGACAACACCGCTGCGGGTGAGGAGGAGGAGGAGTGTGCGGGGTCGGTGCAGGACACGCACTGCAGCGGGAGCAGCGTCAGCGAGAGCAGCTCGGACGACGTGGATGGCACCAATTCGATAGCATCGGCGCCCTCCCAACTGGGCGACTCGAGTCGCAACTGGCCTCGCTGCCCCTGTCATGGCGACGGCGGCTCTCGATGCAGCGTCCGTCTGAAGTACCACAGGATGGGCGGACTCACTGTCATCTATCCCGACGACTCGCTTTACACCGCCCTCCGACTTCTGGCCCACACAAGGCTCCACCGACTGCCCGTCTTCGATGACCCCGTCTGTGGCACCGGGAACCCGCTTTTTGTACTCACGCATCGATCCTTGCTGGCCTATTTGTACAGGAAACAGATCGACTTGCCCCGGCCAAAGTACTTACAGGTAAACAACCAATGATATCTCATCCACTCACTGATGATGTTTCTTTTAAAGTGTGCGCACTCATTGTCTCTCAGGCAACGTCAAATTTTAATGAGTGGTTTATCTTGGCAGATGATCCCCGACGCAGGACCAAGGTCTCGCTCACTAAGTACCAAAATTCACTCTACTTTCGCTAATCATCAGTTCTATTAAACAGATTAAAAAGAGCTTAAATTCGCTACTCTTCTTTCTGCCCGCCTAGTCTATGCACAAGAACGGTGGTGGAATATTTTGTCGTCTGCTGTAATTCCGTGTCTAAATGAGCTTGTACAATGCTGAGCACTGCTTCTTGAACTATTAATTTCTATCCATATTCACGTGATTACATGGTTCGGGGTTACCGTAGCCGTTGTTTCTGCTACTTTACTGGTTTCGAAAAATTGTTCGGGTAGTAATCCATCCACAGACCTCTGATAGCATGTCGAAGTTGTCCGAAGAGGAAATCCTGCTGCCATGTTTTATGGTTATTTTTAGCCGTTGCCTTTCAGGCTGTTTTTTAAGGCTATTCATACGATTGTAGGCTGTTACGATGTTTCGTTCGGTGTGCGTTAGTATTCCAATTCACTTGTGTGTTCTATTTTTATCGGAGGGAAGGCACGCTTCATGATATAATGCCATTTAGAGTGGTTAGAGAAAACAGCACTTTGCCTCCCTTCTTGCAGGACCTAACTGCTGTGTAATCAGCACTTTGAGTTTTTTTGTGGTTTCAAGCAACGAACCTCAAAAGGCGTTTATTCGTTAACGTTTGTGAAAACGCTGACCACACAAATCTCAGTATTTGTATTGAAACTGCCTACAGATTAAACCTTTGGCCCCATTGTGAAGTCTCATGTGATTTTTACTTACAGTTACAGCCAAAGTAAGACAATTCACCGCTTATATGAAATAATTCGAGCAGCATTACCGCCATTAGGTCAGTTGTTGCAGGATATGTATTTTCCGAAGCCTCCTTGCACCACGCCTGTAGGCTGGTAAGGTGTAACATCGGTAGATATTGCTTCTTTGAGTATTCCCCATCGATAAAAGGCGACGTCTTAAACTCGAAAGCCTGCCTGTCGCGGGCTTGGTGTGTGTATTTGCTCACCCCATGGGAGGCTTTCAATTCGTGACCTTTTGAATCCCATTTTCTCTGTGCGAATAACTGAGAACATGCGCGCAGTGGGCAAAATCGGTTAATTATTCCTACACTGCCAGGTTTCCTGGTGGACATGAGTTGAAAATCAACAGCAGGCATGGCTGTCCGGCATTCGTGCTTTTTCGTGCAAAATGTTTCTCCCATCTGGTCTCACGAACTCAAGCCGTTTCCCATGTCCTTTTGGCTCTACAATAACATGACCGCACAATATAATGTTGGCATTTAGAAAAATTGTATGAACTAAAGCAAGAAAATTAAAAAAAACAATAGTGGTAATTATATTTCGATTTTTTGTTGAGTTTAAATTGTTAACGGAAGGCATTAAAAGCCCACCCGCAGGTTAGCCACGTGATTTTGGACCCCAACAGAGTTGCATGGCGAATTCCATGCAACGCTCTCCGCAAACAATTCCCACATGCAGTCTTTCCCGCAAGCATGATTTAGAAACGGTCAATAAGTTGCTTAACTTGGAATTTTGCTCTAGACAAAAAAATCCAAATCAGTTGTCAACCCGTATTCAATTCGAAATTCATTAATTGGGAGGAACTCAGTAGTCATTTGACAGAAATGAGTTTTCTCTGACTCTAATTTTTTTTTCTTTTAATTGCAGTCATCATTAAAGGAGGCAGGTGTGGGCACTTACGACAACCTGGCGCTGGTAATGCCCTCCACAAAGCTGGTAGACGCCTTGGCCTTTTTCGAAGACGAGCGTGTCTCCGTCCTGCCTGTCGTGGACTCCCTCACCAACCGTCGTCTCGTCGACATTTTCGCTAAGTTCGATGTCATTGTAAGCGACCATTCTACTCAAGCCAGTGACACATCCTAAACAGCGCCTTAGATGTACCGCGTTTTCCCCAAAGCCTGGGAAAGTTTGCTAACAGATCACAGCTACCGTATTTATTTGCTCTGTAATTAAACTGAAGTCCCATCTGTTAGCACCGAAATCAGGGTCTCAACGACGGTGCCATACGTGTCTGCGCGATACTCGTATATATAGCATCACATGCTACCTACTCTCGATCCAGCCCAGCTGGACCAGCCTCCTATGTAGACATACTCAACTGCAACAAAAACACACCTACCTAACTCGTCAAATTGCCTAACGTAACAAAAATTAAATCAAACGCTAAATTGCATCGTTTAAATGTGTCAGTCTCTTAGGAAAGTGCTTCAACCAAAAGATCAACAACGGAATTTGTTTGAGTCCTAATGTGACAACTTCCCTTCACTTTTTACTGGTTTAATTTTTATCTAATGCAAATGCCGAAAGTGCGCACATGCGAATGCTCTGGTGACGCTTTTGGGTTCCACTTAATCACTCATTTTTTATTCAGTCACCTCTTTAACTTATGTGAAAACTTGGCATTGTGAGTCCCGTGCCTGTGTGCGAGTAAAAACGTTCGTTTTTGTAATCCACGTTAAAGGGACGACCACGTCGTGTTTGAAATGGCTATGGCAAATATTTTTGGGCCGTATCAACGAGACAAAACAGTTGACCTCCCTGCAATCTCTCACGCAGTTGTTTGACGGTCCTGATTTGATCATGAAGTAAGCCAAGTCGACTGTCTTTGGGTGAGAAATCCCGAAAACGTTGTTTTCAAGCCAATACAAGCACCCATTTCGTTAAACAGTCAACACTGCAAAAGTTACCAAGCTCTTCGCGAGCATCAAAAGTTTTCTTGCCTGTGCAATAAAAGAAAAGTGCAGGATATGCCAAAAGTGTTCGTTTTTTTTTCACTTTGTGTTAAATTCGGCCCTAAACCGACACCTGAACACAATTCACTTCTATACTAAGTCAAAGTGGCAAATGTCAGAGGGATAAATCACAATACCGATACAAAACCTTCGGAAAATGTACGTGCCATGTATGAAAACCGAATTTCCTTTCCTTTCAAAATATTCGTTGACGCAACAGCAATAGCTACACTTTTAGTGTCAGTGCGTAGTTTCCCCTGACTCAGACGCTGGTATACGACAACTCGTGTAGGAAGGCACATGCAAAGTGGGGACTGTTTTTGTTTGGTTTTATTTGCACCTTCATTTCGATGGAACTCATTATAGCCGTAACTGCTTGTAATTTTTTAGACCAACGAATTTCTGGTATTTCCAGTGATTTTCGTTTGTTTGTTTTATGCATTGTTCTTTTTCTTCACTTCACTTTAACCTAATCTCGTTGTTTCACATTTTTAGACCCTTATACTGGCCGGAAAGTACAAGAATCCCGACATGACAGTTCAAGATGTACTGGACAACTGCAAGGTTAGATGAGGTTCCTTAGTGCAATACTATTCGAAACTCGCCAAGTAATTTCGTTAATTCCAAAATAGCGGGCCTATGGACTTTCATTAAGTGCTCAAGTCGTTGTACTCGCTACCGAAATTTCAGTAATAATAAGCGTTGCCAATAAAATTGGACGCGCGCATGAGAAACGGCCTGTTGCTAAGTCGCCTGGTCTGGCGAATTTTGCGTTTGCATCGAATATAACAATATTTGCACAAATTTTTGATAAAAAAAAAAGAATCATAGTTCGCTCTGCTTTTCCCAGTTGCATCGATTGCAAACAAGTCGTTGGTTTACACTACCACGTCCCGTGTGAATTGCGAGCCAGACTAGCACGAGCGTCTGTGCGACTCCTAAGCGCGTCTAACAGCAAATGAAAATTGCGCAACGCAGAGCCCTCCTGGGTTGCAATAAACTTTCTTCTCACGTGACGCCCAAACACTTTCGGATGTTCGCATGAAAACCAGCACTTGGACCGCTTTTTGGCACAAGTATCGCACTAACCATCTTTTCCGCAGTCAAGTGGCTATGTAAACTAACGCACAGAGGTTTAAATGCATTAGCAAGTAAGTCAATGCTTCAATAATTTCCAACTGACACCCTAGAGCAGTCACTGGCGAGATGCGTGAGTTGGGCGACCGCGGATATCCATTGCAGGTTCCTCGGTCAAACTAGCCTTACTTTAAGTACATGAGCGAAAGTACTCTTATTAATTTAAGGGGACGGTGGTGGGAAATCACATGCGCCATGGCGTTTCGGTTAGAGCGAATTCTAACTGCGATGCGTACATCGCTGTGAGCAGATCATCCTTAACATCTAGCGCCTCCTAACAGAGGCGGATGCCCTTTGGGCACAGAAACTAAAAGCAGGCTGACAAATTTGCAGCCTGCGATGCGCGGCGAGTCTAATCCACCTGATCGACGTGTTTTTATAACACCGTGTTTAGTGTCTTCGCATGGAGTAGCGTTCGGTTTCATTTTTTAATCAAAAAATACAACTTGTAAATATTGGGGAATTCTTCGGTCACTTGATCGCTTGTTTCTTGCTTTTGCTAGCAAATCCACCGAGGCGTCATACCCATGCCTGAAGGCCAAAACAAATTCGACGTAGAAATCTGCCTTACAACCGACACAATCCAATATGCCCTAAATAAACTTATGCGGACAGGGGTAAGTTATCAGTTGCGTCTCTCGGAATTGCAGTGCCAGACGGGTCAATGTGTTTGTTCTGATTGACTGGTTACATTTCGTGGCATTATTTCGGTTTTTCCGTCTTAGCAGGTTTAAAAATAATTAAACCCCACTATTGAGAAATGCCGGGCAATTTGTGACTGCGCTCTACGGGGCTGTTAAGGAAATAGTCCCCTTTTTCTGGTGAAATTTTAGTACCATCGTCTAATAGTCGTGGACAGCCCAGTAAACTGTCGTACCGAGGGTGTGGTCAGCATTTCCGATCTCCTCTACTATATGGTTCTCCGCCTCTCCCCGCGTGGGCCTGTCGCAGCGTCGAATGCCGATCCGATGCAGCAGCAACAGCATCAGCAAGAGGAGGAGCAGGAAGCTCCTGAATGGCTCTTCTACTCCGAGAAGGACGAGCACTCCATGTGTCACATGCCCTCAGTGCCACTTGTCACGCCGGTCAAAGAGCTCCCGGAAGTGAATACGCTTACTCACTTGGCGGTGGCAAATGGCGACGGCGTAGATGAACCACGGAGGCACAAACCAAAACGAGGATCTCGTCGACGGAGAGTCACCTCAGGGAGTTCCGTAGCAACCACAACTTCTTCCTCCTCCGTCTCCTCGTCTGCTTCTGCATCTTCGTCCGCGTCCACGTCTGCTTCTAGCACGGACTACTCGTCCTCCTCTGAGGATGGTTCAACAACCCCTTCCTCGGTCTCTAGGTCACGCTCCGGGTCATCACGATCACCGAAGACAAAGGCTAAATCTGTTATGGATCGAAGAGGGGGCAAAACGAGGTTGAAAACCATTAGGCCGTAGATCCAAGCCTTTCAGTTATTTTTATCCCCGTCCCAGACCCCAAAACAGCACCAGACATACAAACACACACACACACCACTTCTGGTCCTTTGTCTATTTTTCCAGTGCTTGTTAGAAAACAAACCCATCCACATGTAAACAGAGAAATTGCATACATATTTTTACCAAAAAAATTGGGCATGAGGATTGTTTGTGAGCACATTTCCTTTGGGAAGCTGGTGATTTGTAATGCGGTGCGTGTCGACCACTCTGCAAGTGACGCCGGCGATTGGTTTCGCGCTGAATCTATTTGACCTTGTCCTCTAACATCTAGATTCCAACTCCGAAACCCAGTTTGTAGGAATTAGAAAAAAAACTTTGTTTAAAATCTACGAAATGGTGTTTGGCCGCAAACATGCATTAAAGTGTGACCTACGACTTCATCGGAATGATTTCCTGCGACTCAACTGCTAGTTTGGACCTGCACCTTAAAATTTCTCGAGTCTGTTCAGTGAATGGGTAGTAAAAGCAGGAAGGAGCCATTGAATTCGAATCCATTTAGGATATTGGTCTTTCTGGCGATAAGTTGTAGTGCTTTGCAGTACGACACAATGTTGGCCGGGCTTCGCACATCCGACACGACAGGGGTGGAAGCATCTACAGCATCTCATTAGGCGCTTGGCAATAACCGGCTGCGTTCATCGACAACCACCTTAATTAGTAGACTTCATCAGATTTGGTTACAACCACAACTAGTTTAACAGCTTCACAAGAACGACATATCGATGGCCAGAAATGACACCGATAGCATCAAAGTGACTAAGGCTTAGCTCTGTAGGCAGTGGCGCATGGCTTGACCAACGAGTATATGGCCTTAGGCTAGTCGATCAGACAAGCATCAACTTCTATTAGTGGTAACGTCATAAAAGTGTGGTTCAGATTTCCAAAATCTGTGGTTCAACAGCACGCTCACCAAAACATTTCCCCCCAACGATTTACCACCGATACTTAAAACACACGGGAAGCGCTCTCAGGGTAAAAGCAAAAGGAAATCGTCGGGTTCCGACTCGTCGGTACTTTTATTCGCTTAAGTTTCTAACAATTTACCAACGCACACATAGTTGAAATGCAGCCACGTCGCAGAGGGACAAGAGGGCAAAAGTAACGCCGTCCGCGCCACAGTCGGATGTTCACGTATAAAAGAGAGTATTTACAAAGTCGACATTAATCCGTCCATTGTAAAGAAAGGGATGGAGTTTTTTCCTAGAGAGAAGACAAAAAATAGCAAGTGTGTGTGCGCGCGCGCGTGCGAATACTCGATAACGGAAGATTAGAGAACCAAAAAGGCGTATGCACACTTTATGATAATCATTGCGTCAGAGTTGAGAGCCACTTTTTTAGACTTATCTCAAATTTCCTCTCCGGAGGTGGATGGGATCACTACTAAAAAGCTCGTAGGAGACGTGTGCATTACCCGGGACTGACAATTTAGTGGCTGTATAGAAATACGGCCACGAATAGAGTGACGCCCAGAGCCCAATCTCGTTTATAATAAGCCAATTGAAACCAGCACGAACGAGCGGACTTCCGGCATGTCGGGCTGCTTTCATAGTGTGCTACAACCCAGTAAATTTCAGGGTTAAACGACAAGCAAAGCACTAGAATGCACTAACAAACGTCGACCAACCGTCGTTTTACGCACTGAGAAGACTATGTAAATAGAATCTGCTGGAATTTGCAATATTGAAACGAAAACAACAGTAGCCAACCAAACTTGACATTTATTTAACAGTTGGTGATAAATATTCACATGCAAAGCAGTGTTGTTTTGATAAAAACGAAGTCTCTTAAGTTCTCTGAGGGCCAGTGTGTGCACCATCGGTCGTCACGTTTATTTAGGTCAAAATAAAAACGGTGCTGGTTCACACAAACGAAACAATTCGCTCATAAAACAGCTACAAACAAACTCCGTGACCACTAAAAAAGACCTCTGTGCTAAAGTGTGTCGTTATACGTGTTTGTGATTGTCAATTTTATTATTTTTCGGATTCTCATACCTAGAAAAAAAACGAACCAAATGTTGTCCCATTGATTTTGAGGTATTCATTAAAACAATTGCAAAGGTGATAATGCTTAGCGGCCTCAGTGCGCTATCATGTTTAGCCACATACAATTTTGGAGTCCGACTAATTTCTATTACTACCACCCAAGTTTTTAAGTCGACTTCTTGTTAGGGAGTACTGAGAGTCCAAGGCTCTGCAAAGCGCTACTTCACGACAGCAGGAGAAGCAAGAACAGGCAAAAAGCCATCAAACTGGTCGCAAATATATCAATGTCCGTAAATCCGAGGTTTATTTCACAAGCGTAACGCCATGTTACGGTTCAGAGTTGCAAAACGAAGGTGTCGTGAAAGCAAAAGTAATCAAAAACTATCACCCTGAAAACGAATTTTAATTGTCATAAGAAATAAGTGAACGGTAACAGTAAGCAAACAACAAATTTAACGCAACGCAACACAATTAACCAGCGGCACCTACTACAAGTTTTGTTCTGGTCGCAAAGCCACAAAAATTAAGCATTTCCTCTGAACAAATTGAACCAAATAATGATTTCTTATAACTACACTACTGGAGACTGTTTTATAACGGGGGATTCGATTGTTGGGGTAGGCATTTCTGGAATTCGTCCTATTTTTAGAAATGGTCACATTACACATGTTGAAGCCCCCCCCAGCGAGGTTTGAAAGCCACATCGAGATCAATCGACCTACATAGACGAGGTCCGAATGGAGAAAGGGAGGAGACGCAGAGATAATGCGTAGCCCAACCTATTGATGCATTAACGTAAATAAATTGCATCGTGCTCGATGATCACGCTTGCTGTGCTCGCTCGCTGTTCACTACACATACACCCACATCGATTGATGTTTAGATCGATTCTACAAATCACCGGGAAAGGTTCTATGCTTGATCAAGACCATATTGGCGTTAATGTGGCAGTTTAGGTCGATGTAACATCAAAATGTGATTCTCATACGTACACACGTTAACCCATCCATGAGATGAATGCTTTATGACCACATATGTTGGTTTACGTATATTGGTAACAACACGACTACATCGAATACGATACAACATTTAAAAGCGTGATTGGAATCCGGCCGGCTGGAGTGCGTTCAGATGTTTGCGCAGATGGACAGAAATAGGTGAAGGAAATTGTGATGTGGTGTTGGATGCTGAGGGTTGCGTGGTGGCAGCCGCCTATTCGGGTGTGATCACTGTGAGGTGTAGCGCGATGGTACATAGAAGAAAAAACGGGAGTTAGGATGGGTTTGCATCTGAAAATGCGTACATATGCATACACACGTGCCTACTGAAAGATGTTAAGTAAAAAAACACCAAGTGCTTGTCAAGTTAATATGAATTGATCCGAATTTCAACATACCTTACCTAGGCAAAAGCCGAACCCCAACAAAACGTGTTATGAGTTTCTATGGGGATCGCAAACGACCAGAAGCATATCTGACAATTACATATTGATATAAATTAGCGTGAAAGTGGACCTAAATGAAATCAAACACGCACAAGTATGGGACAATTTAAAGCAAAAGCACACAACAACTCAATTGTGAACGTCTTTCAGTGACTAGCACTAACAATGTTGCGCACGCAAGGACCAGTTGATTGTTGACCTGAGGCCACGAGAATAAGCTGTTTAAGAGTTACCAATGACCTAATTAAGTTATTGAAACGAAAACTAAAGAGGGGCGGCGCGTAGCGGAGGAAGGCCTTTGAAAAGGCGTATTTGGGATGCTAGCTGGTACAACACCTATGTGACCAAACACAGCAGGGCCAAACGAGCCAATGGTGGAACAGGGGTTCCGACAGTGTGATGTGACGGGGGTCGACTTATACGTGGCGCCGTGATAATGAGGAGACAAAGGCAAATCCATCGGCAAATCGAACTTACCTCAAGGGGCATACAAAACCGATGTGTGAACAGCATCGCTTTACAGAGTTATGTTGTTACTACTGACGTTGGAAGAAGGAGCGGTGGCGGCGGCAGCGGCCGTGGACGGGTGCCAGCCGTTATTGCTGCCGCTGCCGGTTCGCGAGAAGCGTCTTTCGGTGCCAGCGGAGGCGCTGGAGTTGGAAAACGCCAAACGCATTATGAAGGGAATTCGGTCGCCAGGCGAAGGGATCACCGTGTGGTTACAGAAAATCAACGCGTCACACGCCTCATCGACTGACTTCCACTCCAACACCCCCGAGGAGTTCCGTTCGTTCTTCTTAAACAAACTCACCACGCTAGGCAAAGAAGAGAGCAATACAAAAACAGCTTAGGTAGGATAGGAAAGAGCTTCGATTATCTGCTAATGACAGAGTGACTGCAAAGCTATACGACGTTAACAAAGGATGCGCCGTCATAAGGCGGAACCAAAGTTGCATAGATTCACTGCGCGCCACCACTGCCCGAGAAGATGACTGCGTACTCAGAGGTAAATGGTGAGTGCGACAAGCGACTATCTGCCTACATAAAATCTATGAAATAGTAATTCAATTTTTTTATAACACACACACACACACACAAGACGCTTATAACGAAGTCCGCACGATTTTGGGAACTGCTTTGGTTATGCCCACGCCAAGGGAAAGTTACGTAGGTACACTGCAAAGTCGTATGTATAAGTTACTTGATCCAAATTTGGGTTGTGGAGAGCGACTTTGCAAAAGAATACGTTGAATAGACTTTCCTCCTCCGAGGTTCGCACATGGAAATGCCATTTGCATAAAAGCATATGGGCAACAAAACGGATGGTGGGAGGGGGGAGTTGGGTTTCGCAGCCTTGATTACGCGTTTGACAGGCCAAGAAACTTTGTCTTATTCAAATCTACACATTAACCAATTAGCATACACCGAGTACCAGAGAGTGCAATTTGCATCGTAGACCAAAGCATCCAGTTGTCCAGAAATTGACTAGGCAAACGAGCTATTGACAAGGTGAATTCGCCAATCTGTGCGCGTGTTCCCACAATATTAGGGGTTCACACGACGACGACGACCGAGAAAGCATGAAACACCAAGTGAGCGCTTAAGGAGGAAGCAAGACGTTATACAGACTTGAAGGCATAATCGTAATTTAACGGGGAATCAAAATGACGACGATGCAATGCTCGAGACACGACCATACGCGTCAATGCAATTAACCCTTCCCCTAAACTTTAGTTAGAAAAGAATCTACAAAGCAATTTTATGGTAAGACATCGGGTAGATATGGCCGCAGACGGATGCAAGTTGTAGCGACGAGGCAGGTATTAGTGCGATAGGGTCAAACACATCAGTTAGGGAGCGCTATGCAGCTCAAAAAGGAGCCCTACTAACAATGCACTTGAGAACCGATGTTTCACTCGGAGATGGAACAAATGCGCAGAAGATTGGTAAAAACCGCATGACACACAGTGGCCGAAAATGGCGTTGGGATGAATCGTCCCACCCGGATTTGTATAACCAACAAGATGTCTCATCGTGCTTATCGGTGGGTCTTTCCTAGATGGATGGTTGTGTTTATAAAAGTGCGATAGATATCTAAACGTATCAAGTACTCAACCGGAGGCACGGCGAGATTGTTCTCTAGAAATGACTCCTTAGAATTATTTCAAAGTAGGTTTAGAAAGATGCTTTTGCCTTAATAGTATATTAAAAGTTTAACGTAACATTAAAGAGGTCCACCCCAAGTAACACATCCAACAAAGTCAACGGAAGCTACGCGCTGACCTTCCAGGCACATTTGTCCAAATTCCTTCGTTCAGAAATCGGATTGGCTTCATGCAGACTGGGCTGAGTAAGGTGCGCACAAGGAACAAATTTTCCCGCAAGCCGCACTTCGATGGTGAAAAAGGCGAATACTTAGGCAGACCACCATTCAAAGGCCAAGTTTGGAGGTGAGTATGGGATAAGAGGGTCACAATTTAAAACAGAAAAGCCGCTAATGATCGCGAGCGGTGCCCTGGCTTGATGGAGTTTTGGCCACAAAGGATCCTTGTTTGGTTTCTATTGTCCAATAGAAAGCAATTGAAGGAGAGAACAAATAAAGATGGGTAGCAGTTGTGAGAAGCACAGAGCACGAGGCAACCCGAACCGGGTTACACAACTGCCTGTTTGAATTGGACAGAAGTATGTCACCTTTGATGATGACAATAAACAACATTGCCCGGTCTCACACAGGACCCGACTCCGCTCCGAGGCTCGGAGGCCGAAACAACAGCTGATTGAGGTGTGTTGGATTGAAGTTGGCGTCATGTTGTGCACGTGACATGCGGAGTGGCAGAGTGTTAGCTCTGCGTGCATGCATCGCCAGTCGTTCCCCGATTAATAACGCACGTGATTTAAAGTTAAATCAACAACCCACGATTTAACTGCTTGTGTCGTGTTAGACACTACAAATTGATAGCCAAAACGTTAAACAACACTGCGTAGTGTTCCAGGGAGTGTTCTAGGGGAGAGCTGCTGACGCAGTCATCAACCCTAAGTGACAGCCAAATCCCGAGTCACCGAAAACCACGAGGATACGTCGGGGCAGTCGAAAAACAACGCTCCTCACAGAGAGCATGCAGGGCCCCCACACGGCACACAGCTGACAGCGCTTCAAAGCTGGCTTTCCTCAAGGGATTGGGGAGTACGCAGGTAATTTTTGGTTTGTATTTAGGGACAGGCGAAAATATTAGCATTTTCGGTGGCCAGGTACACGACAAAATGGCACGACAGCGACTGCGTTAAACTCGTCTCAACTTAGCTACTTTGCCTGAGGCGATTGTGCCTGGTTGTGCACAAAGAACGCAGGTACTGAACAAGTCGTGGGCCAAAACGAACGCCAAGCTGGACCTGAAAAACACACAAGCGCACACACACACACGAGACTGTGTGCATGATAAGAAAGAAGTCATAAACAGGGTGCGCGGAATGAAAGAGGCTATAAACGCGGGTTTGTGTGTAAAAAACACGGCTGATATTCGAACGCACTAACAAGACGATAGAATTTACGGGATGGGGCTAGCACATTTGTAGCCAAAATAACCTGGCTGTGGTCATGCGGAAATGTGAAAAGCAGATGACTGTTCATAAGAGATAGAAAAACAACTGGAAGACCTAATCCCGAGGTTTAAGGTAAATCGATACACATGATGATTGCAATGGCATGAACGCCTTTGTGACTCACCAACGAAGCCAAAAGCGCCAATGTAAGAGATTAACGTTTGGCAAGAAATACGTGCAAAAACACGTCTCACCGAAAGTGGGATACCAATAATTTCGTATGGACTATTGCCCAAAATTTCCATGAAAAACTGACGTAGTAGCAGGGGAGAGGTATTGGCGTTGAATGCTCCTTATTGCACATAGCCGCAGATTAAGAGAACACATCAGTTATTGTTTTTTGCAAACCAAGCAGAGTGAAGATAACTCTCCCTGTGATAACTGACGCCCTTTATGTGAAGCAGAGGAGCAATGAAGATTTTAGCACACTGCCCCACGCACAAACACCACAGTTGCGTAGGCCATCATCTCGAGGAAGTTTCTAACACTGACGTGAATTAAAAGCTGTTTAACATCAACTTCGGAAGGTCAAAACCGTAATAGCAAATACGGGGTGATTAGAATTGGGCTAAAACAACATGTGAAATTTGCGCATTGATTTCGAAGAATTATGTTAATGTTTAGAAGATTAAATATGAAATTATGACTGACCAAATCTTATTGTTATAACCATTGATTCAAGACATCACGATCATTGTGCAGGAAGAAATGTAACCTGTGTTAGGTAATGCAAGACGAGAGTTCTGGTAATTGTTACGGAAATTGACAAACATTCCCACCAATAGATACATAAGGGGTGAGAGGCTACAACCACCCCTTCCAATTCCCTGCCGAAACCAATGATGCATGATCAATAAATGGACTTGGTTTTGGTCTCGACGTCATTAGGAAGTCCCCACAAAGGACACAACCCCACAAATTCGCTCCACAATCACGAATGTTTCGAGGTTCAATCGCATAAGACTAATACGACGAACTGTTTGCGATTAGTTAATGACAGGGTGCTGCTGCTCAGGGCATGGCTTGATACGCCGGCATTTCAAATACCCAAGTCTTGTCCACTGCGCACCCGCAGCACAACAGGAACAACGAAGCAGCCAGCCGGGTCACACACGTGTAAAAATGTCATGACAACAGGCGTACAAGAGCCGAGACAGGTGAATGTTAACAAATCAAGAGTGAAGCGAAGCGCCGATTGGCTAGCGTATTCGCCTGATAAGTGAGCCTATAGCAAAACCGTTCCTACACACCGGTGCAATCAGAATTTAGACAAGAGAACAGTAAACTGGAAATGCCACAACACCGTGACAAGGTTGTCATCTCAATGAATTGTCATTCTTTGCGACGGTTACCAAAATATTGCACTTAGCAATTATCAAAAATAGCATTCTTTTTGCATACCTGTTTGCGTATTTCGCCTCGCATTATGTGGCATAAAACTTTCCAGAATGCCCTCATTAGCCATGAGTAGATAATTTGAAGGTTCAGGTAAATGACTTCAGTTTATATCCTGACGCGAAAAAATGCACGATGGTGTTCGTTTACATATAAACCACACCGTGACTTGACTTCGCTGGTGGTTTCCCTGTTTGGGGAGGCCTTGTCGACGTCTCGTCATTAAGAAGACAGTGCGCAAAAGACCCCTCTATCCCTCGGTAATCTCAGATGCTCTACAAATATCACAATGACTCACGAGGTCCAGCGGATGAACTGACGGTTGCCCACCCCGTCGTCCAGTCGTTTAGCCATCGCCTGGCGTCTATGCTGCTACTAGAGCCGTCGGCATGGGACGGGGTTACTACCTTATGAGACTTGGTGACCTCAACGTGAGGCGGGGAGCTTAGCGTGGCGTGTGCATGGGTATATTTATATGGTACTATGTGAGCAGTGAGGGATTGGAGGGGACACAAATGAATCAATTGGGAAGGGGAACACAAAGCAGTCAGATAGTCGCATGTCCGGTAGGCTAATTACTTGAATTATTCAGAACAATAAGGCTCTCCCAACCCAAGTAAGCAGTGTATCGAATTGCCAGAGGCGCGATAGCGCTAAAGCAAACGCACAAACAAAACTCTAAAATGTATTAGGAACTGAGCCAACCCACGAGAAGACAGAGCGATCGGTGACGGCATAAAACCAAACAGCGAGCTCAGCTGCGGAGCCAATAACATGGAGATAAGTGAAAGTGTTGGGAAATGGAGCTGGTATGCGTGGGGTACTATAGGTGAAAAGATACAGGGCACGTAATGGAGAGGAACCTATTTCCTTTAATACAGCAATCATGAAATAACTAGCACCATCAGACAATATCCCGAATCTATGGGCTCATCGCTCATAAAGAAGGGGATGAAGAATTCAACAAAAATTAGTGCTTGAGTACTTTTCAGTCGGGTTTGGGGAAATTCACTTGTCAAAAATATCAGAAAATCTCATTGACAATGTCAATATGTGCATCTAATCAATGTTTCTTTGGGTCGACTTTGTGAAAAAAAAACATGTTAACTGTTGAGAAACAAGATTTAATAGTGATTTACAGGCTCCCACACTGTCAGCAGAAGCCTCAAAACAGTCTCAAATCGTTAACCATGAAGTTCGCAACAGTGACCGCTCAATTGCGACTCAACCGATATAGATGTTGATAAAATGTGCGTTTTGGACAATACAGACCAATAAAAACCGGCACGGAGCCAACTCGTCATCACTGATTTACGACACACCAACTCGTTTGTGAGCATTCGCAACATTCTGAAGGACAAGCGACCTTGAATCAAAGCGGAAACATAGGCTCTACGGAAGGCGGCGGCGGCGGCAGTGGTTGGTGGGATAAAGAAAATCGATTAAAGTCTACCTACTTAGGTACAGGAACCCCGGCGTGGGCAAAGATATCCTGTAGTTGTGTGGAACTAATGCCGGGTGGACAGTTCCAGAAGTGGAGCATACGAGAGGGGGGGTATACGCGATTTTTAGCAGCGCTGTCGTGGGTGTAGCGGTTGTTGCGAGAGCCTGTAAAGTCTTTGAAGGAAGGACTGCCATCGGGCAGAACGTAGGGCTGGGTGACCTCGACAATGTGTTGTTGCCGGCTTGGCTGGCCCTGCGAATGGAGCAATGGAAGTAGGTGAAAGGAAAACGGTGCGCGTGCTGACTATACTGAAAGATCGCGCAAGATGGTGAGAAACTGCAGTGACATATCGGTAAGTAGTTCGGCCAGAAGGATGTTATTGTTCATAATTAGACAAATCCACCTCAATGTAATTACCAGGGACTGGACGACCAGCGTGAAGTGCAGGGGCGTTTTTGAGGGGAATCACTTTTCCATACACTATTTTGAAATAATGAAATTGCACAACTACGAAAATGCTTTACAATTCGCATTCAGAGACCAGTAGTTGACCGTGGGATTAACAAAAACGATTTACAAAACACTAAAACAGTAAGTAAGCATGCGTACTCTCTAGTGAATTCACAAGCGAATGAATGCTAAAATCAAGCAAATCATTGCCTAGTTTTTGAAGTTAAAGAGATGAAACGATTCCCATCCACAGACGTGTACACAATGCACCCCCACCACGAAGCGGCTCTCACCAATTGAAACTGGTGTAAAGAAGCCTTCAAGGTTCTGGAGACCAAGTTGGAATGGCTTAGTGGGTTCGACTCCCAACAAATGTCTTTCCCATAATCTGTGGCTTGATGGAACCAAAGCCGGCAATAACAGTGAGTCGTTCAATAAAGATACGTCGACTAGATTCCTATTTCGTATCAAATATACTTTAGGATAAAATGCAGTTCAAGGTGAAAATGATGGTTCAGAATGCACCATGGAACGACAAAATTCCGCCGTTGAGCCATCAGATAGGACACTTTTCGATGTTAAGCGAATTCGCTCAGTTAACCCACGTATTTTAAGGTAGTTAGGAGCAGTTTCGCTCAGCCTCCTCGGTGATGTAGCGGGCGAATCTCTTTTGTCAACGACAAGAACGTTGTGGCACGGATTGCCTTAGACGTCTGGAGGTCTAATGAAGGTCACTAGAAGGCAAATTTCTAGCTTCCTACAGCCGGTTTATTATAACTTAGGAATATCGACCGATGTGTTCGTCTCGTTATGACCTTTAACCAAAGTTGGCCTTTTTGAGGATTGATCTGACCCTGACTTGAAGTCATCTGCAACACCCTGGTCGATTCCGACGAAAGGCAAGCTTGGTACATCTACGAAAAGTCGTGAAGACGAGGAAGCGTAGCAAAAACACCGTATTCTACCTAGGACCAGTGCGTGCGCGTGTGTGGAGGCTACTGACACAAGGTGAAATGACAAAAAATCCTGGTGGAACAGTCGCCTGGTGTGACAAAACTATCTGTTGATAAACCACGGCCGAGGTGCACCTGTTTTTGAATGATGTACAACAATGCTGAAATCTACGCGTAGACGGTACCCACATCGATTTCCCCACGTTGAGTTTTCGTAAAACTGGATTTCTTTAAATTTTTTTCTTAATTTATGAATATTCATAAATTGCTCCCATATGATTCGGTTCATGACGAGAAGACATCAGTCATTAGCCAAGCAAGGGGATAGAAATACCCACGTGCAGATTTGAGTACCTAAACCCTTTAATTCTCAACAATATTTAGCAGTCAGATTTGCATTCCCGGGGGATCTTGTTATTAAACAGAAATAGATTTTGAGAACCCGGTTTGAAATTTCCACTACATAAACCAAACGATGTTGTAAAATAGGTTGTCAAATGAAGGTCGGTTAGAGTCACAGTAATAAGCAAAATTAAGGTTAGTAAAGAACATTTTTCGCAAGTTTAGAACTATGCAGCATTTTTTTGAAAAACACCCATTTAAGTCTAAACTTAAAAATTTCAGTTCAGAGTACTCGCAACTGGGAGGACATTGGAACAACGATAGGCCATTTGAGGACCGTCTTAAGGCTAAAATCAAACAGTTGATGACAGACACCTGACATATGCCAAGAAGCCCATGAGGCTACTACGAAGGCAACAATTATAATGGGCTTAAAATGAAATAAAATAGAATCGAAGAGCAATAATTTTGGGTGGGATGAATGAAACCTTATTGAACAAGGGTTGACTTAGGGAAACAAATGCAGTGAGAACTACGCGAACCGGTACAGTGAGAGGGAGATTAATTTAGCACGGTTGCTCTAGTCCTACCTAAACTTTGCATTTGCCAAATTAGAGAGAATTCAGACAATGTAAAATACGGAAATTACTTTAGGCTTCCCGTTATCGTAAACCAATAACTACACTAGAAATGGAATAAGTTAACAGTACAAAGTCAAAAAGAGGACATGAAAATCTATTTGACTCCTGTATTCGAAATTATTACCGAATGATCGAATTTCTGGTGAATGCGCTGGGAGATGGGTAGCAATTAACGAATTTTCTAGAGTGAAAACTGGTAAAACACTTACGCTTAGCTGATTCCCAACAAACGTTATCATGGGAAGATTAGCGAGAGCACTATTTGCGTTAGCGGCACTGTGTAGTTCAACCATCGCGGTTCCTTCCTTTGAACGAAGAAATTTTATTGGGCCCACATCTCCGTAGAGGCAGAATAAATTAAATAACCTAAATCATTAGAAACATGTGAGTGGGAACGTTTTGAAAGTAGACGATGTTAAAGGTGAGACAATCCAACTTATACAAGAAATGTTTGGAGGTCGCTAGGGTTTTTTTAAGTTAGAGCATTTGACAAAAGTACAATGGCTGCACTAAGTTAGAAGGTGAGAGCTGGTGTCGGCACCATTTACAAGGGAATGGGATGCCCTTTCGTTCTCTAGGGCAAAAAAAATTGGCAAGTCTTTTAGGGCACACCCATACGTTAAAGACGAATAATAAGGAGAGCATATAAACAAAGACAAAGAGGCACACCTGTCACAATTTGCATGGTTCATATTCAGGTTGTAGACCATTATCACTGGGCTCCCAGACCGATCGCTGGCTTCGGAGTATCCTCCGCTAAAAGGATTATGATGTTGTCCTGCAGCCACCATAGCAAGAGCACTGATAACTGAGTTAGGAGCCACAGCTGCAAGGTTATTAGGCAAGTAGGCGTCAGCTCGCTTGGCGAATTCACCTTCAAATTTGCCCAACAAAGATGCAGCAGCTGCAGATCCCATAGGACGCCCATGAGTATTAACGTCCGCTTCTTCCAACAAGGCAGGATTTTCATAATCCCAACTATCGAGACAATTTCGTGTTACTTTAAGTCGTGTTTGTTTAGCATATTCAACTTTGAGTGAACAGCATCCCGAGTAGATGTCCGCTCCATTAATGTGACGCTTGGTTTCCCGAGCCTCTGCGATAGAGGCAAACTCAACCATAGCTTGGACGCCAGTTTTACGAAAAATTACAATCCTTAGCACCTTGCCATGACGGTTTGTAACCTGATGAATTACATCTACCGTTATGGGATATTGGGCATTGTAAATAGTTAGCAGAAGAATGTTATTCTCCAAGGGAGGTGGTCGACCAGACTGCAAAACGTTATCGTCGAGGCGACCGCGGTAGGTTAGTCGCTTTGACATGCTGTAGGCCATTCTTAATCGCTGACTGCCAACCGCAAACGGATATTCATTGGACCTAAGACAAAACATTTAGAAATCAAATTAGCAAAACAACGACGGGTCGTGAAAAATAAAGAGCAGCGTGAAAATTAATAGGTAATCTCCACGATTAAATTTCTTCTAAATCAAAATATACCTTTGCACAACGCGATCAGCATCATTCTGATCCTCGAATTCCACTAGAGCCTGGCGTTTATTAGGCAACATAACGATTTCAATAATTCGACCATATTTATCAAACAGCTTTTCAAGATCGATTTCCAGCGTGTGCTCCGGTAGGTCAGTGATGTGAATGACAGGTGAAGGCTCAATGTCGCCCCACTCTTCAGGTCTGTTTCTCTTCCTGCTCATTTTCAGACGTAGAAATAGCAATCACGCCGGTTCGATTAGCCCGGGAAACGAGTCGAGGAGATTGATTGACCTAAAACAACACAACAATTTTTAATGCACGTTTAAACGCAAAAACATGGCCAACACGAGTAAAATACAGTAATTGGGCTTTAAATCTAAATTAAGTTGGTTCCCTAAATCAATTTAAAAAAATAACAAAAAAAAAACAGATATTTTGCCTACTTTTAAAAAAAAAGGATTATTCGAATAACATTCAGAGGTCTTTTACGAGCAAAAATGCCTTCCTAAAATATTTTCCTATCTTGTTAACTGCCAGATCCTTATTAAAATTAAAATCAGCCTAGATAAAAAAAGTTTAAATCAGGACCTCAAGCTCTGCCATACATTCCAGTTTTTTGTGATAACAAAGCATGGTCTTCAAGGTTCTTTTAATTTAAGCAGAACACAATTTCTGACCAGCATACTTGACTTTCAATGCCACTGTGCAGATAAATAGACGTGCACTATTATATTATGAATACAACATTAATTTTTCCGCAAAAACAGTGAGTCTGGCACCTATCCCTACGTCACTGCTTCAAAAGTTTCGCGCAGAGGTTTACGTGTTGGTGAATTAGTAGGCGATTGGAGTTGCTTCTGCGAGCGCTATCAATCATTAGTTAATTATTACAAAACATGTTTCCCAAGCTTGGATATTGATATCAAAAGATCACTGGAGGTACGTTCTCAATTCCGTGGCACTTTTCCGGTAAATGGGCATATCATAACAGGATTTTGCACTTTATAGAAACTCGCCGAGATCCGTACGCGATTAAAGCCCATGGTTCGAAATACTACTTTTTTAATAAACAAACTTGTGAAGAATAATTCGCATCGTCTGCTTGTCGAGTGCGCTCAGTCAACAATGCTCGACATCGACTTTGGCACCTATCCCTACGTCACTGCTTCAAATTCCTCTGTCGGTGGTGTGTGTACTGGACTTGGACTGCCACCGTCTTCTATTGGCAATGTTTATGGAGTCGCCAAAGGTATTGCTATCACCCTAGCTGATTGCCTTCCTTACACTCTTTAATATCCTCTACACTGCTATGCTAATCATAATTGGTCATGTACTCCAGCTTCCATGTATCTCAAGACGCCTCTTCATTGTTAGTTTACACAACGCGGGTCGGATCTGGACTTTTCCCCACAGAAATAACTGGGGAATTGGCCTTGAAACTCCAGTCGATCGGCCGAGAATACGGCACTAC